TACTCTCTCCCTTCCTTTTTCTTCTGGTGGTCGACTGGATTATGAAGACCTCGACATTTGAGGGAAAACACGGCATACAGTGGACGGCTCAGAATCAATTAGACGATTTGGACTTCGCAGATGACCTAGCCCTCCTGTCGCATACACATGAACATATGCAGATAAAGACAGCCAGTGTAGCATCAGCCTCTGCATCAGTAGGCCTCAGCATACACAAGGGGAAAACCAAGGTCCTCAAATTCAAAGCGGAGGACAGTAATCCAATCACTCTTGATGGCGAAACTCTGGAAGATGTAGAATCCTTCACATACCTGGGAAGCATCAACGATGGACATGGAGGTTCAGATGCAGACGTAAAGACGAGGATTTGCAAAACAAGGGTCGCATTCTTACAATTCATGAATATATGGAACTCAAAACAACTTTCAACCAATATCAAAGTGAGAACCCTCAATACGAACGTCAAGACAGTTCTACTGTATGGGGCTGAAACTTGGAGAACTACAACAACCACAATCAGGAAAGTACAAGTATTTATAAATAGCTGTTTACGCAAGATACTCAACATCCATTGGCTGGATACCATCAGCAATAGCCTTTTGTGGGAGAGAACAAACCAACTTCCAGCTGAAGAAGAAATTAGGAAAAGACGATAGAAATGGATAAGACATACATTACGCAAAACATCAAACTGCATCACGAGGCAAGCCCTAACTTGGAATCCTGAAGGAAGGCGGAAAAGAGGAAGGCCGAAGAACACATTACGTCGGGAAATAAAAGCAGATATGGAAAGAATGAATAATAACTGTGAGGAGCTGGAAAGGATTTCCCAGGACAGGGTTGGATGGCGAATGCTGGTGAGCGGCCTTTGTTCCTTCACGAAGAGTAACAGGCGTAAGTAAGTAAATATGATGCCAGTTCATCGACGATAAGGTCATTTTTGATCGAAATGAAGATTACGATGTAGTTCAGTTGATGATTGTCGTTCTTGAAGCTTTGATGAAGAATCAGCCCAAATCATCTCACTTATTTGAAGGCCACGGTCACTTGCTACAAATACTAAGTCTCGGTTCATGACATTCTGGTATATGTAAAAATATACAATCCAGAAGCTCGTCAATTCAAATCACATAGAAGCGGTTGTATTTTTCAGGTGTTTTAAATTGTAACTCCTCCTGGACTACCTGTGAGGCCACTGCATGTTCAAAGTCCGGATAAAGGAAAAAGGTTTGGTATGGGATTAGCGACACACATCCCGTAGAAAAATAACTCGCTAAAAAACACCAACCAGAAAAGAATAATTCAAATCATTTAAAATCTGTCCCGGGAGTTAGGTCGTCATTTAGAAGAGCTATGACGTCCCATAATGAAAGCCGAGTTCTTTCGCAAATCACGAGGCTGATACCCCTTCTGAAAACCAGAGCAACCATTAATTTAAGTACATGGAATGTTCCAACAATTCGGGAGACCGAGAACGTCATCCAAGTTGATGAAGAAATGAGATGATACAACTTGGATGTGCTTGGAATCAGTGAAACACATGGGACGCAGTTTGAACAACAAAGACTAATTTCAGGGAAGAAAATTCTTCACAAACACCAGGAGTTGTACTGATGCTATCCAAACAAGCACAAAAAGCACTTATAGAATGAGAATCTCATGGATCCAGGATCATCAAAGCCGCCTTCAAAACATGGAAAGAAAGCATTACAATGAATTTCACCAAATGCTATGTGTCTATCAACGATGAAAATGAAGATGTTAAAGATCGTTTCTACGATATGCTACAGTCAATTGTTGAGAAATGCTCAACAAAGGACTTGACAATTCTGAGTTTTTAACGCCAAGGTCAGAATGAAGAACACCAGATATGAAGATATCCTAGGACGACATAGTCTAGGAAAAAAGAACGAAAATAGCTAAAGATCTGAGAATCTATGTTTCCTGAGTAGACTGGTCATAGGCGGCACTATATTCTCACATAAACGCACATACAAAAACACATGGACTCCACCGGATCACACTATGCATCAACAAACATTTTAGGAGGATGATGGAGTTGATATAGCATCAGATCATCACTTGCTGTTCGCCTAGATGGAATGCAATACTTTAGACACTACCAAGTTGATTCCTTTGTGGTTATCACAAGACTATTCCTATCAATTCTTATAGACTGGAACGATCAGAGATCAAGACCACCCAGATGGGATCTCGTCCACTTCTCAGACTCTAACGGATATGTCAGCCAATCTAACAGATAAAACTGGACTACCTCTCCCATAAAAATCTCCGAAATTAACCCATCAGAGCGTTCTCTCGTTTTAGATTAGCTATGACTTCCGTCTCATTAAGAGTCGGAGGGTGCATGTTGGCATCCTATTCAGATTGCTTGGTAAAAGTAAACAACTGAAGGGTAGGTGGGTAACATTTGGATTTTTCTTCAGCGTTTTCCTCATCTCAATCTCTTGGGCTAAAAGTGGATCTTGTTTAAAAATAATATCCTTAACTCGTAAATCCCTAATATCTGTTTCCTTGATAAACTTGAAAAATCGACTACAACTCCCGCCTTTTCCATCTCTTTTGAATAAGCTCCCCGCCACCGCTTACTATCATTGGGTAAACTTTTTGTCAGTCTACATATCGTGCTTGAAACTCGATAGTATGAGTTTCCTAGTATCTATCAGTTCAGTAGACGCTGATGAAATTTGTTGACTTTTCTTAACCTTTTGGTTTAAGTTATTGGTAGATATCACTGTTGTCTGGATATCATATGATTCCGCATCACTTTGACGATTGAATAGCGGGTTCTCTAGTTGTTCCTGAAGTATCTTGTTAACATTTTTGTCGTTAAGTTGAGCTCTGAGGAGTCTTCTTGACGTGGATTTTCTGTATCCAGCAGTACGCAAACGCTTGCGGGTACTGATGAATGATTAGGATCTATATGTACACACTAAGTGTGGAGGCCGTTGATAATACTCAGTTGCTCAAATTGAAGTAGATGAGGTCCGGACCCATAACTTATTGGCTCAAAGTTGAACACACCACTGGCCTACATGTTTGAATATCAAAACACTGATATGTCAAAATATGTTCAACTATAGCATTAAAATATTGATTTTTCCTTCAAAGCTATCAAAGACTCGTTTTGTCCGCATACCCTGAATTTCGTTTCCGTGCAAAGCGTATTCGTTTAGTTGAAAAAGATAAACAATTATACGAAATAGAGGATAACTGGAACGCACAAATGGGTTTTATGGTGAGATGATTTGTGCAGTTATAAACGTGCTTTTTTAAAAGCCAAAACACTGACTAATAAAGCATTAAACTCCAATGAAGAAGGTTGATAAAGACCAAGGAAATTTATTTACTATTTACTTGTTGTCTCTGTACGGAGCATAACAAATGAAAATGATTTCTTACTTAACATTGAATTTTAAGATTATGAGGAAATAACGGGTGAGAATTAAGCTACACAATACAACAGAAATACGACTACATCCATGAACGAGAAGTGAATTTCTAAATCACCTATAGTTTTTCAGAGTTGTGTTATTTCGTCGTACGCGATGACAGAACATCGTAACTATAGAAGTCAAGTCAAACAGTCACTTTTTTCACTAAAGATCCCGATAGTATTATTTTGTATCAAACAACAAACAAGTTATAAACCTGATTAAACATGTCTTGGCAATTTACTGCTGATATTAGGTTGTATGACAGAATGACGAAACCAGTTTTTGACATGCTATGTGACGGTACATAATATGAAAAATTAAAAAAAAACGGTGAGTGCCTTGTGCCACTTACAAAAGATTGATGAGACTATAATACTCCAAGATTTATGTATAACATATTGGAAATTGATTATGGTGTTTTATTTGTAGTAGGAAGCAAGTAGGCTACATTATTAGTAGAAACAGCTAGCAAACAAGAAAATTTTGAGTAATCAACAGAACATGTCGACACGTTTGAGCAAATTATTGAAACTAAGAATTTGAATGTTAAGAAGTGGATTCCGAACAAAAATTGAAATCTAAGTGGTGTGTGGGCGAGAATGATAATGATTAGTTGTCTGCTTAGTCAGACATGTAGATAGTCTGACAGGTGTCAGATGAGTTATATATTCCCCTATCCTTATTATTATTATGACACACTTATCATTGATTGTTCATTGTTGTTGGATTGTGTCGGGTTTTTAGTGTGGAAATATATTTACATTGTGGTCAGGCTAATTACGTGTTCTTGATCTGAGTTGTGTTGAAGTCCTGTAGAATAGACACTGGGAGGGAATCTAGTGTAGATAATCGTTTAAGGTAAATTAACGCGCCATACGTGTAAACCCAACCGTTATAACATTAGACGAAGTAAAACCAAGTGTCATAACACTAAGATTTTAAGTGAATCAATACACTTAAACGGAGGGTGAAAATAGATAATATGAATGTGTTAGACAGTGGTCTTAAGTGAGAAAAACAAAAAGAAACCCAATGTACAGTGGAATACAGATGGGTTTTAAAAACGATAGCAGAACTTTTTCTAAACAAACTTGATCATTAATCGGTGGCAAGTTAATTTTAGAACTAATAGTTTATAAGAAACAAGTTTTAAAACTTCTAACGCTTCTGGTAACAGCTACTAGATTATCACTTTAAGCTGTGCACTAATACTAAGATTTATGTAAGATATTATTGAGATGTTACCGGTCTTTGTACCATGCCATTGTTTTTTAACTGAGACAGAAAAACCATTTCTAGAAGTAGTAGCAAATAGGTTATAGACTGAAGTAAAATAACAGTATAAAAGTTGAATGAAGAGTTGCTAGGGTTGAAGCTATCACGGGTTCACTTAATCTGCGAACGAGAAACAAGATTCGGTGACCAAAGACCAGTAAGCTAGCTATTGATGCGTTCCAGCCCCGCTAACTAGAGGGAGAAGTTCAAGCTTGGAATGGGGAAGTATATTCTGCAAGCAGCCAGAAACAAGCGATAACAACAAAGACAATTCAAAACGTATACATACAGTACAAAACCGTCCCTAGGAAGAGTTACCGAATAGCATACTAAAAGACGCAACGGACCAATAGCATTTAAGATATTTCCAAGCGGGGAATACGACATGAAGGTGACAAGAGCGCTTCCGGCGCGAAAACGAAGAAATTCAAATTCTCTAAATAAAATTACAAAATTAGGTCTTTTCCCAAGTGAGTCTGGGGATCTAATGTCCCCAACGAGAGTTTTGGTCAAACTACTTTTCTAAAAAAGCTTATAACTTCTGCACTCTCTTCGTACAGTTTATTATATGAAGTAGGCTTGTCAACTTTGTAATGTACTTCAGAAGTTGCTTCATCCAAAAACACTTCAATCTATTTTTGAATGGAAGTAATTATTTTTAATAAGTGAATAAGCAAGACTAATTTGCAAATTAAAAATCTGTATGATTAACTGAATCTTGTTTCAAAAAATCCCTTTCACATTTAAAGCACTGAAAAGAAAACTAAGATTTTCCTTAAATGTTGAGGATAAATGGATTGCCAAAATACCACAGTGTTATCAGACAAATAATTTTGATATAATGAATAAAGAAAATACATTTTTACATTCATCTTTTTTCTTCAACATTAAAGTTGTCTCATATTCATGACTTCTGATTTCTTGAAAGTTGTACGTAAAAAGCTACATGACAGAACAGGTTCGTTGTTCAGTGTGTAAAGAGCCAACCGCAAAATTTTCGGCTGTTCCATCAAATAAATATTCATTTTTGTTACTACTATCCGTTTCATTGAGATTAAGAACCACAAGACGCCCTAGTGGGCCAGGATCGTCTACAGACTTCCAGCGATCAGGATAACTAGATGTCCAATGTTTAGTAATGGCAGCTTCGTTACTAAGAATAATTGGTGTCGAACAACTAGAATTGTTAAGGGATGTGTGATGTGAATCCAAAAGTACTGAACGGTTAACAGGGTTATTTTTAAGAACTACTGCTTCATCCATTGCAGACGACAAGGTAAGATCCAAAAGACTAGGACTTACTTTCGCTACCTGTAAATGAAAAACAAACAAACAGAAAAAGGACATTTAAGTGCATAAGTACTCATAATGAAAGATTCTATATGACTTAAACTACTTTCCAAACAACATGTAGTCCCAATAATAATTCGGACACTAAATTTGTAAGAATAAAAAATGATTCAGTTATAAGATATTAACTCATGATTTTTTCACCCACCGACGTGGATTTAATGCTGGTATTATGTTTTGAAACAGAGAATACTTTTAATAACTGCAAACACGAGAGAACCAAGCTGGCTTCAGATCTGGTTGTGGCTGCATCGACCACATATTCACCATTTGTCAGATTCTAGAATAGAGGCATGCTTATCGGCGTCCGACAATGGTGATTTTTCTCGACTTGAAAGCAGCATTTCACTCCGTAGACCGCGAGATTCTGTGGCAGTGACTGTCATTGAAAGGCGTACCCCAGAAGTACATAAACCTTGTGAAGGCTCTTTACTCGAACGCTACTAGTCGAGTCAGAGCTTATGGCGAACTGTCATCTACTTTTGCAACCTCAAGTGGTGTCCGTCAAGGCTGTCCACTTTCTCCATTTCTGTTTAACTTCATCATAGACCTACTGATGGAAATAACATTCTCGTCGACTGAATTCTCGGATATTGATCTCCTTCCAGGAGGTCCACTTATCGACATAAAATACGCAGATGATATAGTCCTGTTTAGTGAAGACGCCGATAAAATGCAGTCTTTTGGTAGCACTAAGCAACAATGCCAGAATGTTTGGAATGCGCTTCTCTCCCTCTAAATGCAAGTTGTTGCTTCAGGACTGGTCTGCGTCAACACCTGAACTGATGATAGGGAGTGAAGTAGTCGAACGCAGCGACAACTTCATTTTTCTTGGAAGTCTGATCAGCCCTAATGGGTTGGTGTCTGACGAAGTCTCATCACGGATTCAGAAAGCTCGTTTGGCTTTTGCGAACTTACGTTACATATGATGAAGGCGAGACATTCTTCTATCAATGGAAAGACGAGTATACTGCGCGTCAGTTCGTTCTGTTTTAATTTACGGCAGCGAATCATGGCCATTAAGAGTAGAAGACACCCGTAAGCTACTAGTATTTGACCACAGATGCCTTAGAAATATTGCTGACATCTGCTGGGATCACCGGGTAAGTAATAGTGAGGTTAGACGCAGGGTATTAGGGAATGATGGTAAATCAGTTGATGAGGTAATGAATCTTCATCGACTGAGATGGTTGGGCCACGTGTTACGTATGCCTGAACGCCGATTACCACGACTTGCAATGCTATCCGGTATTGGAGATGGTTGGAAGAAAGTTAGGGGCGGCCAAACCCAAACGTGGCATCAGTGCTTGAAGACACTAACTTCTAGTCTGAGCCATGTTGGTAGATGCAGACTACTTGGTTGGGGTCCGCTTGACTATCGTAACCAATGGTTGGAGACTCTTGGTGACATGGCTCAGAATCGATCACAATGGCGTGGGTGTATACACTCCCTGTCTTCCCTTAAACTAAGAGATTAAAATCGCTTCATGTCTTTCTACGAACGAATTCTTTCTTCTTGTACTATATCTCTATATGCAATCTTTCTCTTATATATTACCACCTCTGACCTAATCACTGCTATGAATCCGGTGTTCTTCTTGTTGTGCTGATGCGGTATGGCAACCTGGACCGATACACATATGTGCCTGGTCCTACGTTGTAGCTGACTGACTTTAATGTCAAACATAAAACTAAGAAACCGATGTTTTAAATGTCTATTACTCTATTGTACAGAATGTAACGAAGGGTGTGCGAAGCAAAGAGAAATAAGGTTAAACACTGAAGGGCATGATAAAAACAAAACAAATAGTAGGAAAACAGTTTATATTCAGCACACACTGTAGACTAAGGAATGTGAATTAGTTTAGTGTCAGTTCATTTCTAATTGCATATTAAGCAAATAGACTCACGAAGTTCGAAATCTAATAGACCAGCCAGAAAAGTTCCTATAACCTATTATCTCTAGGTATCCAAAAAAGCTAATTTGCGCAACATAACAAACGAAATAAACTTTAGAACACGTAGAAAGAACAGATATTATTACAGTGGCTTTACTAACACACACGTTTGTACATGTTCAAATGAACTGTCTATGGATTAAGCGAATTAGTGGACAGACTGTTATTTAAGCCTATAATAATTCACCTATATATATATATATATATATATATATATATATATATATATATATATATATATATATATGCTTACTAAACAATATTCATTGTTCCGCTTGCTATTCGTGTCGTTTGAAATAAACAATACAAATAAGCTGTTCCTAACGCATTTCGTCTAAAACTGTCCTGCATTGTCGGTGGGTTAACGTCATAACAGTTATTAAGTTGAAGCCTACACGATAAGAATAGGCACGCAACGTTATGTTATTAGGTTATTTAAAACGAAACCTTACTTTTTTTTGTACTCGGAAGTTATCATAATTCATGTTTTCGTTAATGCGATAGTAATAATAAATATTCCTCAGTATATTAACTTTATCTAAGATATGCACATTATTTTTGACAGTATAAAATAAATGGGAAGTATTTATATGAAGGTGCTGCAAAAAATGAAAACTTTGCTTATGGCAATAAAAGGATTTAGTAGACAGATTAGTGGTGAAAACACGTGACATTCAATGACTGGATTTCAGGTCAAAACCTCATGTAGTCTAATTCGATTTTGGAAAATCGGTAGTATAACACAAAATGTGGTAAACGCGAAGTACATGATCTTATTCTCGGTAAACGAATCAAATCGAGAGTTTCAACTAACATACAGATGTAATTACAACCAAACTAATCTATAAAGGACATATTAAGTAACATTTACTATCTTATAATAACACTCAGAGGAAGAGAGAAGGTTGATAGTACTTTCAGTAGACATCGTCATTTCATTCTATTTGTGTGTGGGCTGTGATACTGCCCGGGTACCCAGACAGAAGCAAGTGGTTTTCTTAGGAGGCCACACCCCGAGCCTTTGACCTAAAGGTCTGACCCACAAGGTAGTCGAGCATCGTAAGGAGATGCAGTCCCATGATAGCCGGTGACCAACAGTTGGTTCATACGCCATTTGTTCCTTCAGGACACTGGAGCTCATGTGTACCATTGGTTTGGAATCAGGGTTTTCCAACTCCTCTGGACGGACTCACCGTGTCAACAGGGTTGCCCAATCTCACCATTCCTCCTCAACTTTGCCATCGATGACATTCTGGAAACAGCTCTGACGGATGTAAGTAATGGCGGTGTGGATCTGTTGCCTGGAGAAAGACTTATCGACCTTGAGTATGCGGATGATATTGTCCTACTGTGCGATAATGCTCAAGCCATGCAATCTGCACCATCGACTTCGGTGGCTTGGAAATGTTCTACAAATGTCGTCCCAGAGAATTCCACGTCGTGCATTATTTGCCGACTCTGGGACTGGTTGGAAGAAGCGGAGAGGTGGTCAGTGTATGACATTTTGTCGTGATATGAAAGAAAGCTGAAAAGGACTGGCTTCTGTTGGTCCTTCACGACTCCCTGGTTGGGGTCCGAGAGATGGTGCAACACAGTGGCTAGAGACGTTATCAGATATGGCTCAGAATAGAAGCCAGTGGCGATCCTGCTGCAACCTTTTTTTACTCTCTTCATAAAAATGTGGTTGTAACTTCCTTAACTGAAAGAATTCTTCTGGTTGCACCTTTCCGTTTTCACCATTATTATTATTACAGTAACACACACTAATCTGTGGTCGTTATTGTTTTTTCTCTTATATGCACCTTACCTTCTTTTTCTCTTCCCATTCTCATTGTTTTGTGTGGCGCATATATATCTGGTGCCCCCTTGTACCAATATTTATGTGTTTGAACAAATAATAAAAATAAATAAGAAAATTGATAGCTACTAGTAAAAAGGAAAACGATATAAAACTGCCTTACTTTTAGTGAGATAAGACAGTCCTGTCCCAAGTTTAATTGACACGCTTTTGAATATTGGTATGTATCTGTTGTAGATGATACGGACGAACTCTTTAATTCCATCATTTGCTTTTTCTGAATTTCATTTACGATATCATCTTCAATCAAAGTGTTGCCGGAAAATGTTGATGCCATTGGTACCTTCTTTTTCTCATCAGAAGTTTGATACACCTTTTCTAAAATCACCCTAGAAGCAAAGATATAGTTGTTTAATATACTGCAAATAGTAATAAGGAACTGCTTACTACATATTAAGATGTGGGCCTCTGAAACCAAATAATGCGAACTTTAATTATATCATTGTTAGTGGATTTCTGTAGTTAATAATAAAATTGAAAAAAATCATAAGAAAATTGATTTGCATAGAACAGCTATACGATATTTCGACAGGTTATAAAATTATGTGATACCTATTACCACGTGCTTATGAAATATATAGGCGATTAATAGCATTATATTAAAACGTTGCACACCGCCAGAAGTTAGTCCATGATAATCAACATAAATACAAGTAGAATTATGAGCTAGCCCAAGTTAGCATACCATGTCAGTGAAGTAAGATGAAATTAATATTGTGAATCGTAAGGGAGTTGAGACAGTCGTAGTGGCAATTAAAAGTCAGAACTAAACACTAAGAACATGATGTGGAAAAACTCAATGGAAAGATATATCAGAAGGAATACTAGAGCTGAAGATAAAGGTGAAAGAAAGTACGGATTTAATACAAATAAAAAGCGGATAAATTTCGAATACCAATCAGGTACTTTAAACGTATTATTTAAACACAACGTTTTAAAAGATACAAATGGCAACTACGAAACGTGGTCATCAAATAATAATAGAGGAAAAAAGAAGCACTTAATCAATGTAAAAAGTAGCAGAAATCGTCGCAAACGATAGTCAGTGTGTTATGGATGCAGAATAATGTGCCAATCATTATCATGTTAAACCTAGTGATGTCCTTGGACGTTAAATGGACATTTCCTATTGGCCATTATTTATTTCATCCGTTAAATATTGTACAAATGTTGTTTTCTATTTTTACGGTACGATGTGGTATGTTTGGTTAGTATATAAATAGAGTATGTCTCAAATACAATGATTCATATCTCAGAGGTTGTGACTTGTGTTCTGGACTCAACTGACTGGGCTAGACGGGGAAGTGGGACCAATCGAGACTCTAGGCCGTCCGTACGTGTTTACGTGTCATTGAATCGATCGATAAATACGCTGCTCTCTAATTTTTCCAGTCAAGGACACAACAATTAGCACAGGGTAAAAATCGACCCAACTTAAAGTCATAACACAGTGAATGGTAAACGTGAAATAACAAATTACAGTATATTAAATCCGAGTGAAAATCTTTAAACTTATTAACTATTTGAAAGGACATATTGATTTTAAAAGATGCATACAAAATTTTCGGGAATTACAAGAAAAAAGTTCCAAACTGAAACAGCACAAAATGACATGGCTATATAAGGAGTATCAACAAAAAGGTAAAATACACATGGTCTTGGAGTTTTACAGCAGAATTTGTGAGTAATCAACGATGAAAACGAAGGAATGAGAAGCAAGTATGTTGTATATAATGACGTGACAGCATAAGTAAGGTATATTCCATGAGTATTTCAAACCATCGGTTGACTGTGCACAATGTCAGCTGACCCAGATATGCACGTTTTTATATCTCTAGCAGATAAACGGCGTCTTTAAGTGTATGTACTAGTCAAATGAGAAACATCATGAAAATTGCGTATTTATTAATAGGTACTATTAGAAAGAATCTAGATGTATAAGGTTGAGGGAAGTGAACATAAATTGTACTGTATTGTATAAAACTAATACTATGACAAAAAACTTCATCAATAAATTATTTAATTACACAGATTTAGGAGTTCATGGTGAAGAAAAGTGACGGAGGAAGTAGAATGTACACATTGATGGGCAAAAACCCACTATTAGCCGTAAAAGCAAAAGTAACTTGACTTTTGAACTAGTCCCAAGTTAAAGAAAAGAACAACCATATACTTACTTCATGTGAGGCTCACAAGACTCTAAAAAGTAATAGTACGCAGGAATCTTGCCATGTGACCACTGTTTTATTTCTGAAAGACCAGTTATCAGCTCTTTTAAACAAAGGTCGGTTGCAGAGACATTCTGATGGATTTCAGAGTAATCTGAAAACATAGTCCAGTTGAAAGCCATACTAAATGACCGTAAGAAAGCATCTCTATCTAGACAAAGCAAACTAATAAGGCAGATCCATTCTTTTGAACGAGCTAAGGTTAACTGGTTCAACAGGTATCGTAACTGACAAAGAGTCCCTTTATCAAAAGTCCTAGAAAGTAAAAAGACAGAAAAATGTTTTACGCAAGCCCACTGGAGTAAGACTGCTCTAAGCAAAAATTTTTTAGCCGGATTACTTATGAATATATAAAAGTGTACATCAGTTAAAAACAGTTGTATAAAAAGATATACTGACTAGTCGTCAGAAGCTTTTACTTGAACAAAACTGATTCCAATCGGATCCCATAAGGTATTCATTAACCGCATCAAAATTCAAGCGATCTATTTACATTGCTGCCGTACTTATGTAACCATCTCTTGATTTATTACCCTATCATATTTGTCGCATTTTCATGGATTAAAATCTTGTCAAGCATGTGATATACTTATTATTTTCCATTTACCTTCGTTATTCGTACTAAAAATCCTTCTAATACTATTTAGTTCATAATTTGATTCAGTTTATTATTATGTACAATTTGCTACAATATCCATACAGTTTTTATGTACTCAGTTCTTAACTCTGATTAGTTACTAAAAAGTATTTATTACCATTACTATTGATCTGGGATTATGACTGTCGAAACTGTTGAGGACTTATTGATAACTAACCAAGTAACGCTAAGTGTATTATGAGCAAATGTTGTCTTTTTGGTGTGCGAAATATTAATTCACATTCTCCGCTTGTCCTATTTTTAGAAGCTTGGTAAGGTTTAGGTTGTATGTGTTTCTTGTTTACCGTTGAATACGTCCATATATCACTGCATGTTACACTTAGTTCCCTATGAAATAATTTTTCATGAATATATTCACATGATACTAGTTATTAAGTGTCCACATATTGGAAACACAACCACTGAAAGTAAAATTAAAAAACAGGTGAATATATTAGTTAGAGAAATACAAATAAGCTTGTTAACACGAAACTCACGATCGGAATTCAAAGTTAAAAGGTGAAGATTCAGAAAATGTATTATCACTTTGTACCATAATAGACGAATTTAACAAAGGTTCATTAGGAGAAGTCGAGCAACTGTATATTCCTCCACTGAGGTTAGAATCAACCACAACTAAATTGAATTCTTTTAACAAATTTAAGAAAACCTGGGGCCAGTTAGGTTCGGGTTGGATATTATGACTATAATAAAGAGACAAAATAAACCTTGAATAAGAACTTTCGTCTAAATTCGAACGAATAGTTTCACAACATTTGGGCGCCTAGTTAATGTGAAACATTAAAGAGGAAGAATGTATTTGTAAAATCCCAGCAAAAGAATTTGAGGTAAATCCAACGTTTCGCCTGGCAATCTGGTCCAAGCTTTTTCAAGAAAAATATAATCAAGCAACAAAATTACCTTGATTTTGAACAAAACACGTTGAGTTTTCATTAAATTCTTAACAAGAATAACAAAATTGTAATTATGAGACAAATAGTATCAAGAAAACGAATAGTAAGAAGATCTTGACTACCAACATAATCAATTCGTTAAACATTATAGTTTTTAATAAAGTGGGATTTTCTTTTAGATGATTGGAAAGACAGTAGACAGATGGAGAAGTAAAGACAAATGAAATACAGAAGGCTGTCGAAGACAAGCGAAAGCTTATACACTCATTTCACTTGGTGAACTTTTTGCCAGTGTTAGAAGCATTTGTAAAACAGACAAACATGAGAGAATCTTGCATAAAATTACATTTGCTCAAGTTTTCAGAATTCAGAAAATATAAAACCAGCAAACGAAAATAAAGATAAAAAGCACGTGAATAGATACCGTAAAAAATGAATAGAAAATTATGCGATTTAAAGATAACATTGAATGTCAAAATGACTTGAATTAATTAACCACAGATAACTTACATATTTTTATTTAACCACATTTGCAATACGTTTGTGTGACCAGTACTAAAACCATCATTAAAAATTTCGGGAATATTTGTAACTAATTGGGATGCACGTTTAAGGTAACCTTGAGAAAAATAATCCACAGCAACCCTAAACAAGAGCTGTTCAAGCTGGTTTCGAAGAGTGGAAGATGGTTTTTGGATATGAGTTACTGACGAGTCAGACGATATCTCGATTCTATTACACAAATCTTTGATTTGGTCATTTCCTAAGTCCAGTAATTCGATAGGAACTCTTGTAGGTCGATACTTTGACATTCCACCATACCAGACGACCTTGTTGATAGATTTCTCAGGACCGGCTTTTAACTGCATATGATCATTATCAAGATTAGATAAATTTTTTAAATGATTACATGGGTTGAAGTACATATTGTGGGATTTGTTAAAGTCTTTTTTTCTACTATGCTCATCACTTGAACTATATTCAGTTGGATCTGGACAGTTAAAAATAAAAGTATATTCGCATATATATATATATATATATATATATATATATATATATATATATATATATATATAAAGGATTAGATATTTATACCAAATACTTAAGTTAGTACTACATACTTAATTACAGTAAGGAATCCCCAGTAAAAATATGCAATAAAACTGTCCAGTACACATTTTACTGGACAGTATTCAAATATAATTAAAGAAGCGTTTCAACGACGATCAGTTTCCACTAATCTTCATGCGCAAAAACGCTTTCGCCCATCTTAGCTTCCATGATATTTTTTCCTTCGTGAATCTTATTGTGATAGATTCATCATTTTCTGAAGAATGAGGGGATAAATAAATCTACCAATGTTGTGGTTCAACTTGAATTTTTACCGTAATCAGTTTTAGGATGGGTCGTATGTTTTTAATAAAAAGACATGAGTACATTCAATCGAAATACCTAATTAAACAACGAAAAACCTAAAACAAGAAGATTAATAGTAATATTATTTGGATAGTTGGAAAATTGGAGTGGGATATAAGTCCAAATAGAGTTTCTATATGGATGAAATTAAGTCACATTCAGGTTTTTTTACATCATCTAAAAACTAGTGATATTTTATCCGTGTATTAATAAAAAAGATTCAAAAATTACCATACACATGAATAGAATAATGGTTTAGGTGACATAATTGCATTCTCCCTACGGTATAGGTCTGAGAAACTTGATAACATTTATACGATAATTTTTTTTCTTACAAAAAGATAATTTTGAAGACTTGTCTGATCTGATTATACACGACAGTTTGAATTAAAACATGATTTTGAGTGAATTAAAGCATCAGAAAGATTCGTGTGATCGATATTCTTCTGAAGTCTAAGAGAAGCTTTGAACTATTAAGCGGAGGTAGGTGCTGCTATGTTGGTGTCGATATCGAAGACTTTTTTGCGCACAAATGTCTAGTTGAAACTCCATACAATTAACAGTAATTAAACCGGTACAGGGAATTTTGAACGAGAAAACGAAAATATGCAGTGATAAAAAGCACAATTATAACCACCAAAATAAATGGAAGTCCGACTTGAATAAAAACATACGCTTATTTCAAGTTGAAACCTGCTAGCCAAAACATAGTATGGGTGGCAAAGAAAACGGCTTGAATAAGAAGAAAAGTACTTGGAAGGCCTTAAATGAACCACTCGGATTTCTGACAACAACTACTGGGTTCCAGCGGGAAATTCAATACGCGATGACGACTAGCTGGTAAATTGTCAGGACATTTGTAACAACTGTATGACACAGGATAAATGAGGGATGAAAAAAATTGAAACGTTTTTCACTTTAATAGATGAATGGTACATATGACGTTAAGAAATGTTTAATTCTAAAAGTCTAATTTGTGTAAAGCAAGTTGGTGCTACAGGAAAATGGAGCGACTAGCTAAAAAGACGTTGATAATACTAGACATACAAAATTGGAGTTTTTAAGAGATTTGTTGTTTAAGAATAAGAACAGTAGCAAAATATACTGTTATTTTACCGTGGTAATACAGTAAATTCCGAAAGATCATTTATAACAATCTTTCCTTTAGCCGCTTATAATCACTCTAAAGTTGCGATAGTAGAATTTTCAAATCACATTTACTTACCAATAGCACACAGAAAGCGTAACAGATCACGAATGAGATTCCAATTCATAGATTGAAGCGATGCTCGAAACAAGGTTAATGCGCACTACAACAGTGAGAAAATGTGGAAAGCTGTGAAACTGAAGCAAAATTTTCAGTACGTTAATTAGAAAATAACTCAACAAACCTAAATACAAAACTAACATTTTTGTGATACTGAACAGTTAATCTCAATAAATACGAATAATGCTTCCAATTGAGAACCCATTTTCATAACTTTATCAAGTCATTTACATTTAAGAATTATTGAGGGAAATAATCGATTGTTTGTTGTTATGATGCGTTGTGTTCGAGATCTGATACGGATACAAAAAGTGCTACGCCCCAAACGTGAGAGAAGACACATGAGTCAAAGGAAAAAATTTATTGAGCTCCCGAATTATATGCATAAACATTAATTCATATGTACGTTTCTACATTTAAGGAAATCAATAAGCTAATGGGACGCATCTGTACTTTGGGATATTTTAGGTTAGCACTAATCGATTTTCTCATTTCGTTAATTCTGTTTGAGTCAATATAAATTTTATAAACCAGTATTTCTCAGCACAATTGTAAATAGTTACATTTTCATCTTTGAAATTCTACAGTACTTCTAAATGTAACTTATTAAAAAAAATTTAAAAACGGTAACAAACGTTATGATTGAGTGAGAAAGATATCACACTAGAAAACTAATAGATGATATAATCAGAAATGATTAAATACTTCATATTTGCTACATAACTAACAACTTATGTTTTGAATGTGGAAAGGAATTCAAGCATACAGGTATATATATATATATATATATATATATATATATATATATATATATATATATCACTAGGTACATCAAACTCCGCCTGAAGTCCCTCCGGGGGTACTACCAGTCCCAAGCCCGGATAAAGGAGGAGGGTTGGGCATGGGGTTAGCGTCCCCATCCCGTAGAAAACTAACTCGCTAAAAAAACGCTAACCAGAAAAAATATTAAAACCTTTTAAAATCTGCCCTGGGAGTCAGAAGATCTTCATTTAGAAGAATTATGACGCCTCATGATGAAAGCCGAATCCCTTCGGAAGTTACGAGGCCGATGCCCCTTCTGACAACCAGAGCGACCATTTATTTAGGTACATGGAATGTTCCTACAATGTGGGACACCGGAAGAGCCTTCCAGATTGCTGCAGAAATGAGAAGATACAACCTAGAAGTACTTGGGATCAGTGAAACACATTGGACACAAGTTGGACAATAACGACTAACTACAGGAGAGCTCCTGTTATACTCCGGCCATGAAGTAGAAAATGCGCCGCATACACAAGGAGTTGCATTGATGCTGTCCAAACAAACGTAAAATGCACTTATAGGATGGGAATCTAATGGACCAAGGATCATCAAAGTCTCGTTTAAAACAAAGAAAGAGGGCATTTCAATGAACATCATACAATGCTATGCGCCTACCTACGACTACAATGAAGACGCTAAAGATCAATTCTAAAATTGGCTGCAGTCAATAGTCGAGAAGTGCCCAACAAAGGACCTGACCATTCTGATGGGAGATTTCAACGCCAAGGTTGGAACGGACAACACTGGATATGAAGACATCATGGGATGACACTGACTGAGAGAAAGAAACGAAAATGGTGAAAGATTTGCAAATCTATGTGCCTTCAATAAGCTGGTCATAGGCGGCACCATATTCCCACATAAACGCATACACAAAACCACATGGACTGCACCGGATCACTCTACACAAAACCAAATCGACCATATTTGCATCAACAAAACGTTCAGGAGGACTATAGAGGACGTGAGAACCAAGAGAGGAGCTGATATAGCATCAGATCATCACTTGCTGGTCGCCAAGATGAAATTGAAACTCAAGAAGCACTGGACAACGGGGCGGACAATATCACAAAAGTTCAATACGGCCTTTCTTCAGGATACTAACAAACTCAACAAATTCAAGATAGTCCTCAGCAACAAGTTCCAGGCCTTTCACGATCTACTCAAGGGAGAAGGAACAACTGTGGAGAGCAACTGGGAGAGGATCAAGGACGCCATCACTTCAACACGTCATGAGGTCCTGGGTCACAAGAAGCACCATCACAAGGAATGGATCACTGTTGATACACTGGATAAGATTCAAAAAAGGAGGAACAAGAAAGCAGCAATCAATACTAGTCGAACTATAGCAGAAAACGCCAAGGCACGAGCTGAATAAACAGAAGTAAACAAACAAGTGAAGAGGAGCATCAGAACTGACAAACGTAAATATGTGGAAGATTTAGCAACGACGGCGGAAAAGGCTGCAAGAGAAGGAAACATGAGACAACTGTATGACACGACAAAGAAACTCTCTGGAAATCGCCGCAAACCAGAACGACCAGTGAAAAGCAAGGAAGGCAAGGTAATCACCAACATTGAAGAGCAACAAAACAGGTGGGTAGAACACTTCAAAGAACTCTTGAATCAACCAACTCCACCCAACGTTCAAGCAGCACCCATGGACCTCTCAATCAATGTTGGCCCACCAACGATTGAAGAGATCAGCATGGCCATCAGACAAATCAAGAGTGGCAAAGCAGCAGGACCGGACAACATCCCAGCAGAGACACTAAAAGCAGACGTAGCGGCAACTGCAAGGATACTCCACATTCTCTTCAATAAGATTTGGGATGGGGAACAAGTACCAAAAGACTGGAAAGAAGGACTTCTGATCAAAATACTGAAGAAAGGCGATCTCAGCAAGTGTGATAACTACAGGGGCATCCCTCTTCTCTCAATACTGGGAAAAGTCTTCAACAGGCAGGATTCCGTAAGGGTTAATCGTGTACAGACTAAATCGCAACTCTACGGATCATTGTGGAACAATCAACTGAATGGAAATCATCATTCTACATCAACTTCATTGACTACGAAAAGGCATTTGATAGCGTGGACAGGACAACACTATGGAGGCTTTTTCGACACTACGGCGTGCCTCAAAAGATAATCAATATCATACAGAGTTCATATGATGGATTAAACTGCAAAATCGTGCATGGAGGACAGTTGACAAAGTCGTTCGAAGTGAAGACCGGTGTTAGGCAAGGTTGCTTACTCTCAGCCTTTGTCATTCTCCTGGTGATCGACTGGATCATGAAGACGTCAACATCTGAAGGGAAGCGCGGGATACAATGGACATCTAGGATGCAGTTGGACGATCTAGACTTCGCAGATGATCTGGCCTTTCTATCCCAAACGCAACAACAAATGCAGAAGACGAACAGTGTAAAATGTGATCGATAGACGAACCCACCAATAATAAAAGGAAACGCCCACCACCACATTAACTCCTTTTGACCTTGTACGACTGTATCTCTTTATTAACCAATCACAGTTTAATGTTCATTGTAAAACAATATTTGCTTGTTGACTCATTCTTCCTATTCTCTGGCTACTCTTCAGTATGTTATTTGTCTATTTTTTCCCTGTATTAATAGACCGTACAGTTTGTTTGTACACTAACGATGTTAATTTATGTTTTAGAAACAGATAGTCTATCTAGCCAAATAGCTTGCTTGTTCTGACTTTGGCCAAACCAAGACTCTGTATTCGACGGTCTAGAGAATAGCTCAGAATTAAACCTGTAGGAAATTGCTCCCTACAAACAGTGTGGCAGCAGCCTCAGCAGCAGTAGGTCTCAAGATACACAAAGGGAAAAGCAAGATTCTCCGATACAACACAGCATGCAACAATCCAATCAAAATTGGCGGAGAAGATTTGTAAGATGTAAAAATCTTTACATATCTCGGCAGCATCATTGATGAACAGGGTGGATCTGATGCAGATGTGAAGGCGCCGATCGGCAAAGCAAGAGCAGCATATTTACAACTGAGGAACATCTGGAACTCAAAGCAACTGTCAACCAACACCAGGGTCAGGATTTTCAGTACAAATGTCAAGACAGTTATACTGTATGGGGCAGAAACCTGGAGAACTACGAAAGCCATCACCCAGAAGATGCAGGTGTTTATTAACAGTTGTTTACGCAAAATACTTCAGATCCGTTGGAAGGACACTATTAGCAACAACGTACTGTGGGAGAGAACAAACCAGATCCCAGCGGAGGAAGAAATCAGGAAGAAGCGCTGGAAGTGGATAGGACACACATTGAGGAAAGCACCCAACTGCGTCACAAGACAAGCCCTCACATGGAATCCTCATGGACGGAGGAGAAGAGGAAGTCCAAAGAACACATTACGCCGAGAAATGAAGACAGAAATGAGAAAAATGAACAAAAATAGGATAGAACTCGAAAGGAATTCTCAAGACGGAGTGGGTTGGAGAATGCTGGTTGGCGGCATATCCTCCATTGAGAGTAACAGGTGTAAGTAAGGTAAGTAAGGTAAGTAAGTAAGGTAAGTAAGGTAAGTAAGGTAAGTAAGGTAAGTAAGGTAAGTAAGGTAAGTAAGGTAAGTAAGGTAAGTAAGGTAAGTAAGGTAAGTAAGGTAAGTAAGGTAAGTAAGGTAAGTAAGGTAAGTAAGGTAAGTAAGGTAAGTAAGGTAAGTAAGGTAAGTAAGGTAAGTAAGGTAAGTAAGGTAAGTAAGGTAAGTAAGGTAAGTAAGGTAAGTAAGGTAAGTAAGGTAAGTAAGGTAAGTAAGGTAAGTAAGGTAAGTAAGGTAAGTAAGGTAAGTAAGGTAAGTAAGGTAAGTAAGGTAAGTAAGGTAAGTAAGGTAAGTAAGGTAAGTAAGGTAAGTAAGGTAAGTAAGGTAAGTAAGGTAAGTAAGGTAAGTAAGGTAAGTAAGGTAAGTAAGGTAAGTAAGGTAAGTAAGGTAAGTAAGGTAAGTAAGGTAAGTAAGGTAAGTAAGGTAAGTAAGGTAAGTAAGGTAAGTAAGGTAAGTAAGGTAAGTAAGGTAAGTAAGGTAAGTAAGTAAGTAAGTAAGTAAGTAAGTAAGTAAGTAAGTAAGTAAGTAAGTAAGTAAGTAAGTAAGTAAGTAAGTAAGTAAGTAAGTAAGTAAGTAAGTAAGTAAGTAAGTAAGTAAGTAAGTAAGTAAGTAAGTAAGTAAGTAAGTAAGTAAGTAAGTAAGTAAGTAAGTAAGTAAGTAAGTAAGTAAGTAAGTAAGTAAGTAAGTAAGTAAGTAAGTAAGTAAGTAAGTAAGTAAGTAAGTAAGTAAGTAAGTAAGTAAGTAAGTAAGTAAGTAAGTAAGTAAGTAAGTAAGTAAGTAAGTAAGTAAGTAAGTAAGTAAGTAAGTAAGTAAGTAAGGTAAGTAAGGTAAGTAAGGTAAGTAAGGTAAGTAAGGTAAGTAAGGTAAGTAAGGTAAGTAAGGTAAGTAAGGTAAGTAAGGTAAGTAAGGTAAGTAAGGTAAGTAAGGTAAGTAAGGTAAGTAAGGTAAGTAAGGTAAGTAAGGTAAGTAAGGTAAGTAAGGTAAGTAAGGTAAGTAAGTAAGTAAGTAAGTAAGTAAGTAAGTAAGGTACATCAAATTAGCAATATTATGTATTGCAAAATTAGTAAGAAGAAACTATGTTTAGTCTCAAAGTTCAGAAAGTTTTTGGTTTTAATATGTTTTCATATTGCAGGACACCTCACCTAGATCTATATCGATATCAATTCGCACACTAACACTAGGATGCAGGTATCCATAGCCAATGACCTCAAGTAGAACGAAATGTGTGTTCTGGATTCCACTGTTATGTGTAATCTAAAAAAAATATAAAACTTGTAACCACAGGCAATATTGAGACCTCCCTTGGTGGTATGAATAAAGGTTGATCAGAGTTCAACTCTGAATATCAACGAGAAAAAACAGACTTTTACGAATTATAGTCATTTCCCTTTCGTACGAAGAATTCGATACTTACATGGAACGAACCATTGTGAGAAAATAAAACCAATGCTTTGCGAAAATCGATATTTAGAAATGTATGGAATAAAGTTAACAATTAAACGTTAAATGAAATAACAAACTGGTATAAAGAGTGTGTTGCAGAGTTATGGTTACAACATATAAGATAAGTAGAAGCGAACGAAATAGTTTGTGACAACATTACCTCCCAACTAACAGAAAGAGGTTCCGATGTTTGAAGAAGAATTAAAAAAGAAGCAGCTGTTTCCAGTTTATTATTTTCCAAACACAGTTCAAATAGATCTTTTGGTTTCCTTCCGATGGTAATGAATAAATGAGGCCACCAAGTGACATCGGTTTTACGAGAACAATGGGCCAAAATCTCCAGAAAATCGGAGAATTCTTGAATAAATGCTACAACTTGCGGTAGTAATGGATCTAAAACGGTAACAGGAAATTACTAAAATATTATTCGAGACAATGAACATATTCATTAAAAAGCTTACTAAAACATATTCGGTAGTGTCATAAAATCAAGTGAATAACAATGAAGTTATTCAAAGGGATTCTCTTGAGTAAACATCAGAATGTATGTGAAATATAAAGGCGAAAACATTAAAGTATTTATAATTCCGAGCACGAAGGATTAAAGAACAGGATGGCTGAGAAAAATGACACAACAAACCGTCGTACTAATGTTTTCAGCAGCGCAACACATCAGAAGGTCATTTTCAAGGTCGAAAGGACCAATATAATAACTCTGAGATATGAATTTTATGTATACAAAGATGAAATAAGGTAAATTATAATAAAACCAGATCATAAGAATACCATGTATGAGTGCTGAAGTGTGTAGGACTGCTTGTTATCCAAATATTATGTATTTAAATGTGATATAAGTACGGGTTCGTTCGCAGTTCCCAAAATGTATTTCTCGAGTTTTAGTGCACACTTGTGGTTCATTGTATTTTACAAATGTATGGACTATTTCCTGATAACCCACTGAAGCAAACAAATAACTTAGAGATAAAACATGGTAAGTTAACATATAAATTGTTCAGCCAGAGATGTGACCAATGGTCAATACTATCATACGGAATAAATACTTGAACAATTAACACCTGAGTTAAAGTAACGATATCCAAAAACCAGTGAGAAAGGAAAATTATATATATATATATATATATATATATATCACAGAAACCATACTCGATTAGGTAATGTACGAAATATCATTATTGAACAACCAACCAACATACCATAATTCATGACACGAAATGAATTTCAATTAACAGTGTATACGCAGGTTTTGATCGACATATCGTTTTCATCTAGAACTTTATTTCTGATATTATTCAATAGTTCTTTCACATGAAACTAACGTTTTGTAAACCAAAATTAAAAGCAGTGATTTTATTCCGTGTCACTTACAAGATGCTATTTATTCAAATTCTGAGACAAATTTTACGAGTATAAGCAATCGTTAATAGACAATCATATATTTGCTGAGTGCTATCAGTGACTTCAATCATACAAAACAAAAACTTCTTTCTTACGAAAACACTAGTAGAAATAATATAGAATTGCAAGGCGTTGAGAACAGTAGTATATAATATATTACGATGAGGTATTATATAGATCAAATAAATTAGTAGTACTTCTCCTTTGACAATTATCAATAAAATTAAAAAGCCTTCAAATTGTAGGTGCAAATAAACAGTAAAATGATGAAAGACAGATGTTGTATTTAAATTTTCTACCTGGCGTTGGAATTTTGGAGGCAGCTTCAACCTCCAAGACTTCATGTAATAACAGTTCCAAAATACGAGGAAAGTACGGTAAATGTTGATACGCTAAACTCATTTGAAACGCATGTATTCCCAAACTACATGTGCAAAATTAGAAAAAAAACGTATTAGAAATTACGCAAACACTGCAGAAAATCACACCAGTTCAAGGAAAATAAGGACTACTGTTAGCAGGACATAGATTAGATTAAAGCATATTCCGTTCGGGACTGTGTTGGAGCACGCTGATTGGCCATCTCTTGCTAGCGGATACTTAGAGAAGACTCAAGAATCTCCTTATGTAAAAATTATGAATACACTGTTTTTCTTATCTTGATTTCTACTTCTATCCAACCTGGTTTATATGGGATATAATTATGTTCCTATTCAACAGTGTTCTAATTCGAAGACTTATCGAGTGAAGTAATGTTCAAGAATACTAAGCATGGTAGCTACGTCGTAGTAAGAAAACTCATAACAACTACAACTCTTTTACTTCATGTGCATACGGAGACTTTACGAACGAAAACAATACAACTTTCCATAACACATAAAAATGTAAATCCCCTAGGACTTACGAATTCCCTTTTAAATTGTAGAACATATCAAAGCTGGTTATATAGTGAATCTAGAAAATAATAGTAATGCTTTTTGGATTGGGTGTTAAATCACTCCAATGGAATGTATTCGCCTATCCTTCTGAACTAAAGGAGAACACAGGTGAGGACAACCGATTATATTTACAGAGTCACTTGATAAAGTAGAAAAACCATACTCCAATACTTCATGTGCTAAATGTTCATTAATTGTCTCAGACTCCATTGTTCCAGCATTTCCGCAACAATTGATTTTTGTTCCCGTTTTTACCAAATCAACCTTCTGCTGCCACACATTTTATTCCTGACTAGCATCAATATAATACTTGTGTTGACATAAGTAGCACACAATACACTCGTCTCCCCTTTCAATAAGGTGTCGACGTAGTCTTTCAGATCGCCGTACCGCTATCTTCTTTAGTGCAGTTCGTGACTCGCACTCATGATGATTTTGAAACCATCTCTGCAGTTGATTGGCATCCCGACCGAAGCTGCTACCTTGACGCGGTGGTCGGGCTTGCCTATCGTGATGACCCAATCGAGCTATATTGGCTGGAACATATGTTTCTGTAGGTTCTACCATGCCAGGCAGTCTGATTGGAGAACGGTAAGACTAAAAGCAGCAACTCAAGGTCTGAGGGCGAATTCGTACTGCTGACTGTAGAGAGGTATGGCAGCAGTAAGGTGTTTCCCTTGGACAACCAGCATCTGCAGCGATGCTGTCTTCCCACAAGGAGGGGTGGGGTTAGAAAAGGTCGACCCTTAAAATGTCACACCTCACCTTACCTCATGGATTTCCGTCTCCGGTGGTAATGCCCTTTGAAGAACGGAGCTAACACATTAAAAACCTTCAACGAAAAGGCCGTGCGCGACCGGCCTCAAGCAGTTGTCCCCTGGGCTCTGCGGTCACGCTCCCAGGTCTTTAAGACCAACACTAATCCAATTTCCTTTTCAGGTTCCTCAAGAAATACCCTTCCACGGTGTGGGCAGCCGGGAAGTGACACCAGCCCTCATACCCGTAACAGCACACGAGACCAAGTTGGTCACATTCAAATCCTTCATATACCTTTTAATCCCTCTCTTATTTCCATGACTAACCCTCCTCACGTCTCTTTATCACCACGCACCGCTAGGGCAAACGATTCGAGTACGTGGAACGCTATTCCTGGTCTCCTGAAACCACTCTCTAAACTACACGTAGGAGCTTTTAACGTACGAACACTTTGCCAAATAGGACAGCAGGCTTCCTTAGCTAGGACTTTAGAATCCCGCGCCATCGATGTGTGCTGCGTCTCCGAAACGCGGATACAGGTACCAAGTAGCGTCATTCACTTGACTTCACCATGCCAAAATAAATAACCGACTCGATTCACACTTGGTGTATCTGGAGGCCCAGATTCTGCTTCTCGTGGACTCGCCGGCGTAGGTTTACCACTGAGTCCTAGGGCAGAACAAGCTCTCTTAGACTGGATGCCAGTAGACAGTCGTGCGCTGTCCGACTAAACGTAACAGTAAGGATCCGAAAAGATAGGGACACTCGTCGTGGTCTCCGAAACGCACATACAGGATCCGAGTAGCGTCATTCATTTGACCTCACCATATCATAATAACACTGGATCTCATCAACATCAACCGCACTGATAGATGCTCGAAAAGTCATCCCACCTTCTCCGAAAAGCTAGGCGTTCTGATGTAGCAATTGTGGCTGGTGACTTTAATGATCAAGTAGGTAAACTAAGAGATAAGGAAATACACCTGGGTGGATCTTATAGTGTCGTGGCTCAATGAACAGATAATGGCGACCGTCTGTTGCAGCTATGCTCAGATAACCGCCTGTTCCTTGCAAATACTAAATTTAAGCATAATGAGAAACATCTTTTAACACGGCGACCCCCTAATTCATCCCAACGTTGGACCCAAATAGATCACATCGCTATCAACCACCGATGGAGAGGCTCGATGGAAGACTGTCGCTCATTCTGGAGCACATGCTTACATTCAGATCATGCTCTAGTACGAGCGCGTACCTGTCTGCGTCTTACTGGACGTAGGAAAGACGCTGCAAGTAAACCTCTTAGGGCCCTACTTAATGATAGTCAAGCTAAGAGTATATTTCAGGAACAACTAGAAAAACAGTTAGGCAGCTATGTAAGTGATGCCCACCCCGAGGCAGCATGGAATGATATCCGAAAAGCTGTGGAAACAGCAGTGATATCTGCTAGTAAGGTAAACCAGAAGGTTAGGGAGAAACGCTATCTCAGCAGCATCTACCTCACTCATAGATGCTCGACAACTCATCCCATCTGGCTCTGGACATGACGAAGAGCGGAGTCAGTTTAAGCGCAGGTTGATAAGAAACCTACTCAATGATCGCGAATAGCGGTGGGTAGCGAAAACAAGAGGTGGACAAGGCAGCGGCAATAGGTAACAGCAGACAACTGTTCATACTTGTAAGAAAACCGGTAATAGGAACCCGACTGTTAGCGAAAAGATCTCGGAAAAAGATGGACATATTATTCATTCAATCTAGGAGATTGGATTGATGGGCAGAACACTTTAGGAATCAGTTCATCTGGCCTTCAGCCACACTTCGGTTTCCCACGATCTCCAGTCAACCTGAATGGCAAGTTAATTTAGGTCCTCCGACTCCTTATGAAGTTGAAAAAGCCATAGGAAATCTAAAGCGAGGGAGAGCAGCAGGCCTGACAGGTTCACTCCTGAGATTTTTACGGATGGTAGTCCATTATTAGCAGTGAGATTAACTGAAGTCTTAGGTAGAATTTGGGAACTGGACGCAATCCCATCTGACTGGTCTCAATCACTGATTGTGCCAGTCTATAAAAAAGGACAAAAGTCCTCTTGTGACAATCACAGAGGAATCAGTTTGACTAATATAGTGTCTAAAATATTAGCTTCAATAATACTTTGATGCCTAACCAAAGCTAGTGAAGATTAGACTAGAGAAAATCAGGCTGGTTTTCGACATGGACGTGGTTGTATAGACCAGATATTCACACTACGTCAGGTTCTAGAACAGACATTCGTTCAGACGCCCCACTACCGTAGTATTTCTCGACCTTAAGGCAGCATTCGACTCTGTCCATAGTGAGGTTCTATGGTAGTGTTTGTCATCGAAAGGATAACCGAAGAAGTACATTAACCTTGTAAAGGCTCTCTACTCGAACACAACTGGTCGAGTGAGTGCTTATGGCGAACTGTCATCAAAATTGATTACCTCAAGTGGTGTTCGTCAGGGCAATCCCTCTCTCCATTCTTGTTTAACTTAGTCGTTGACGTACTTTTAGAGATAACACTCTCCTCACCGAAATTTCCAGGGGTTGAACTTCTACCGGGAGATTCACTTGTTGACTTGGAATTAGCCGATGACATAGTTTTATTTGATGAAGACGCTGACGGAATGCAGAGTCTTATGACCACTCTAAGCAACAATGCAAGCATATTCGGGATGCGATTCTCCCCCTCGAAATGCAAAATGTTGCTTCAGGATTGGGTTGCATCCACACCCGAAATAATGATAGGGAGTGAAGTAGTTGAGCGTGTTGACCGCTTCACTTATCTTGGAAGTTTCATCAGACCTTGTGGTCTGGTGTGTGACGAAATCTCAGCACGGATACAGAAGGCTCGAGTAGCTTTTGCCAACTTGCGTCATTTATGGCGTAGGCGAGATATCAGTCTATCAACCAAAGGACGTGTTAACTGCTCAGCAGTTCTCTCTGTTCTGCTTTACGGCAGTGAAACATGGCTGATAAGAATAGAGGATGTTTGTGGGTTACTAGTATTCGAACATGGGTGTCTTCGAAAAATTGCTCGTATATCCTGGGACTATCGAGTAAGTAACGCAGTTGTTAGGAAACGGGTACTAGGTAAGGATGGCAAGTCGATTGATGAAGTGATGAAACTTCACCACCGACTACCTCGACGTGCGATGTTCAGTGGTATAGGAGTAGGTTGGAAGAAAGCTAGGGGCGGCCAAACCAAAACACGGCACAAGTCCATGAAGTCACTGACAAGTGGACTGAGTTATGTTGGTACGTGTAGACTACCTGGTTGGGGACCGCGAGATGATAGCAACCGATGGTTAGAGACCCTGAATGACGGCTCAAAATCGTTTACAATGGCGCAAGTGCATACACTCTTTGTGTTCTCCCAAATTTTGATCTCCTTATTCCTTCTTGTCTTTTTTTTCTCTTCCCAAATTTATTTCACTGTATTATACTCTTTAAATAACATCATCAAACACTAATTTTCCTGATTACTGCTTATACTCTTATTACCTCTACCACTACGGGATTTGAATCGACCACTGCATCTCTGTGGTAATGTGGTGTGTCAACTCGAACTGATGTACGTACGTACGAAGTTCTACGTTGTTACTGAATGACTGACTGAGTTGATTAGCATTTACGCGCTTATTCTTGTATTCTCTCTGGATCGTGTAAACCGAGGCACGTCTCTCTGTGACAATGTACGTTCCATCCTACTTCGGGATCAGCCTTCCTGGCCCTGATCCCCCTGCTATGTTACTTTTCCGTTCTCTACACTTTGACAGGTCCCCCATTGCAAAAAGCTCCCACGTTCTCCTCTGCTGTTCCGCCTTTTTGATGTCTGAAATTTTTTCTTTTCCATATTCCTTATTACCTCTCTCCTCTCTCTTCTGAACCTTGTTACCATCCCCTTCTGTTGTTATGGTCAGGTCTTACTATGCATTGGAAGTTGTGGCTGCCTACAATGCATCAGCAGGAAAGGTGACCTCTTGTTTGTTTCTTGTATGGAGGCACGATGCGCCAGCAAAATCAATGGTAACGCTTCCTCACAATTTCCTCATATAGAGGCTAACAATTCCATTAACGTTAGGTTGTTTCTTTGTGTAAGCCCATTCGTCTGACGGTGATTCGGTGTAGATCGTATCCTCTTGATGCCAAACTGCTTTAGACGGGCTTTAAACTCGTCACTATCAAAAGAGACCCTGGTCGGTTGATATCATCTTCGGTATTCCGTGACACGCTACAATATGTCGGACTACTACTATTACTACTACTGTTTTTGCCCGCTGGTCTGCATTGGGTACGGTGTCTATCCACCGTGTAGCATGTTCCGTCATCACTAGCAGGTACTGGTGACCGCTTGACGTCTGTGGAAAGGGTCCATCACATCCACCGACAGCAGTTACCGGGATTGACTCTAATGGCGGGAGTGTGTATCGATCGCTTTTCATTAGTTGGCGCTGCTGGCAAGTTAACACGTATTGGGCCTGTTATAACGCTCGGTCTTACTTCGTCTAATGTTATAACGGTTGAGTTTACACGTACGGCACGTTAATTTACCTTAAACGATTATCTACACTAGATTCCCTCCCAGTGTCTATTCTACAGGACTTCAACACAACTCAGATCAAGAATACGTAATTAGCCTGACCACAATGTAAATATATTTCCACACTAAAAACCCGACACAATCCAACAACAATGAACAATCAATGATAAGTGTGTCATAATAATAATAAGGATAGGGGAATATATAACTCATCTGACACCTGTCAGACTATCTACATGTCTGACTAAGCAGACAACTAATCATTATCATTCTCACCCACACATCGGAGCCGCATCGTCTCTCATGCCTGGCCAGTATGCACTTTGACGTAGTAAATCTGTCGTTCTTGCGATACCTGTATGCGCTACCTGGTGACACTCATGTATCATCTTACGTCGCCAGTCTTTTGGGATCACGGATACCCAATTTTTGTCGTCATCCTGCCAGATTAGGGGTACATGTGTCCACCCTCAGTCTATTGCCGAAGCAACACTATTACCTCTTAGTCCATTGTTCATTTGTCGATATCTGCTTTCTCTTTTATCACTCTGATTACCTCTCGAAGCTAATTGTCAGCTTTCTGCTGTTGGACGAGTTCTAGTGGGTCACCCTCTAAACTATTTATTGCGCATGCTGTCAATGGAAGCTCGGCTTCTATGTCTGGTCTTGGCAAGTAGTTCTCTACTAGTGTTTCCTTTCCTGGAACATGGCCGATACAGAAGTCGTACTCTTGAAGACGTATTATCCATCGCGCCAACTTCCCACGGGGTCTCTTGCTGTTTTCAGCTACTGCAGGTGTTCATGATCAGTCTCGATGTGGAATCGTCTACCTAAAAGTTACGATCTCCATTTTTTTACAGCCCACACGATTACTAAACACTTCTTTTCGATCGATGAGAACGCGACTCGTATATTCCACCACTCAATCAGATTGGCTCAAGACGTTACCTATACCATGATCACGTGTGTCTGTGGCCACTGAAGACGGTTTCTCTGATTCAGGCAGTCTGAGCTTCATCTGGCGGTCGTCTAGAATGTTTTTTATTCGGTTGAACGTTTGTTGGACAGTCTTTGTCCACGTAAACTTAGTGTTGCTCAACAACTTATGTAGAGGTATTGTTATTTCGCTGAAGTTCTTGACGAACCGACTGTAGAATGCCGCCCTTTTGCTGGAACTGTCTCAATTTCCTTTTCGAATAACGTACTGCAATCTTTTTTATGGTTAGAATTTTCTCCGGCAGTGGTTTTATTTCTCCATTCCCCACTATATGCCCCAACAACGTGACGGTATGTTTCTCTATCTGAGAATTGTTCTCATTAATTCAAAGTCCAAATTCCTCAATTCGCTTAAAGACCGCTTCCGCATGCTTGACGTGATCTGTTTCTGTATGGCTGTACACATCTACAACGTCGCCATACACCTCGACGTTAACTATATGCCTAAGCAGCACTCATAATTCTTCTGAACGCAAACGGCATTCGTCTAAATTGAAACATCAATCGGTTCATGATCTCAATCAAAAACTTAATAATCTCCACAATCCCTATACTAGTAATCAACATGTGCTCACTAGTGACTAGCTTCGTGAGGGAATTCTCGGAGTTCTAGTGAGAAGCCGTGACCAGTGGAGCTATTCCTTGTCGGGTAGAGACAGGTATCTACCTCAGTACAACGGAAGTTGGTCGCGCAATTTCGTGGATTGGTTGATGTTAGAAACTATCACCATTGGATGCCGGCTCAGTGGTCCAGTTGGTTAAGCGTTCGCGCGCGAGACCGAAGGCCCTGTGTCCGAATCCCGCTCACGGGATCGTGGATGCGCACTGCTGAGGAGTCCCACAATAGGACGAAACGGCCGTCCAGTGCTTCCAGGTTTTCAATTGTGATGGTCTAACATCAATCGGTTCATGATCTCAATCAAAAACTTAATAATCTCCACAATCCCTATACTAGTAAATTGATACTGTTTATCACGTACAGTAAATACTATCTTGTTTAGATCACTCTTTTTTATAGACATTTGCCAATAACCTAACTGCAAATCCAGCACTGTAAACACCGTAGCATTCAGCAACCGATCTAATGTTTCCGCAGCTGTTAGCAATGCACAAGATTTCAGTTCTCTAAAATCGACACAAAATTAATACTTTCATTCGGTTTCTTTACCAAGAGTACCGGCAAGCTATACGGTCTGTCCGCTTGCTCAATTATACCTTCTTTCAACATCCCCTGGATCTGTCGATTTACCTCAACCTGTAAAAGCACAGGGACACGACGTATTGCAAATATATATATTCGATTGTTTTTTATCGGGATTTCGTGCTTTACTTTGACACAAAATTCGTACGGCTCTTCGTCTCCAGTGAACAGTTTCGTATACTTTGTGCACAACTCGTTGATGTTTGGTTTTTTCATCGAAACGTCTGTAGCCATCCTCAGCTACTTTCACGTATTGGGAATGAATCGTACTTTGTGACCACCTTACTGCTTCTTAAGTCAACTAATGATTTTACTTCTCTCAGGAAAACTGCTCCCAATATCGGTCTCGATGGGCTGGCTTGTGGTTACTACGAACGGGGAATTTATAACAGCATCATCCAATTTTACGATACTGTTAGACACACTTAAAACCTTTAATATGTGCCCTCCTATCGTGTGAACTGCTAATGCAGATGGCTTGAGTCTCTTACATTGCTGTTTGCGTATTAGCGATACTGCTACACCTGCATCGATCAGACACACTAAATCTCGTTCACTTATGTTCATCTTGTGTAGATTGCCCCTCTATTTACTAGTGCAACAACCCATAGATTCCTAAGGTAGAAAGAAACATGTGTCATAACTTCTATAATATATGCGTCTTCGTCTTGTTGGACAGTTTATCTTCCAATTTCCTGTCCCTCCACAAGCGTGACACTTATCATTTCTTTTACGATTCACTTGTATCGCAGCTATCTCATGCTGCAGCTCCTCAATCTTCTCGATACAGTTTATTTCGTGACTTCCGCACCTTCGCTAGCACATAGGTTGTGAGGTGTTTACTAGGTTCAGCTGCTGGGAAACGGTGACAGGCACGCTTTTAATAAATTGCGACGCCAACAATTGTGCTCCCGACTCCACACCCAGATTTCGTGACGCGTGGTGCAACAACTTGGTAAGCTCCACAGTCAGTAACAGTGGGTCACCATCGATCGCCAACCGGAACTTCTGCAGTGCTTCTTCCCTGTCACTGGGCTGTCGAACTCCGCGATCAACCGCTCTGTGACTGCCTCCCATGTTGAAATTATCACCCTGTTAAAAGTTATGGGATTAGGTTCTAAAAGAACTTCACGGATCTCAGACCACTTAAAGGACATGTCACTCAGCCATAACTTTTAAGTAGTTTCGCAAACCATGTGCAATGATTGTTTTACAACAAAAAGAATAAAAATTGAATTTTTAGATAAAACAACTTACTTTTTCTTAAGAAGCTGTCGAATAATATGATGTAGTGCTACCTGAATCTGAAAAAAAGAATGTTCAACGAATTCGAACGGCATGTATAATATACTGAATAGATTAGCATGGAAACTGACAGCACAGGGAAAAAACGTGAACCAAACGAACGAAATCGAAAATACGAGAGGAGGAAATAGCCAGGCATGAACAGATTAAATACATAAAAGAAACGCCTATCAGTTTATGGGTAGTACAATTTATTTCCTGTTTTAAAAAGGCGAGATAATCGCGAAACATAGGAATGTTTAACACAAGTGAGTCTACATATTGTTCCATAGATGTGAAACAAAGTTATATGCGATTGATTATCACTCATTCAATAACGTATAGGTGAACTCTTAACTCACTTCGATGCACACATAGGAATTCAAATGTCAAGACAGGATAAAAGTCAGTAAAATACTGTTATTTAATTATATAGAAATACTAAATTTAACAGTACCCGCGTTTTTACGCAACTCAAAATGGTTGTCTTATATTAATAGAAGAATCTGTGAGAATTACAGTCGAGAAACCTATAGAAATTAAGTTACTTGTACTTTAGGTGACAGAATAAAAGGAAAGAATGTTATCCGCAAATACATATGACAAGAACAAAGTGACAGGAATAAGTCACTTTTGTGAAGCCTGTTTTTATACGACTTAGACTCAAAAGTGATGTAATGTTCTATTAAATCGAGTTAAGACTAGGGGCTGTATTAAAAAGGATTTATCCAGTCGCTCAACTGGTTTTCCTGTATCTAACAAACTTCTGGCCCAACATTACCTGCAATTATGTTTACCAGTTTACATGTCCCGAAGCGCATATCTTGGAAAAATAAAAAGATTTATGGATCACATCTCCGATCACATTCCTCAGAAATCGAATCTTAGAGGTTAAAATGCTTTTAGCGGTGTGATCACCTGTGATCTAACTGAAAGTCAACGCGATGTTGACATTTCAGGATTATCAATAAGCAAGTGATTTCAAACTTACTACTAAATTTTGTCGAAAGCATAGATAGAAAAAGGTCAGACAAATGCATTCAAACACTGAGCTACTTAGTATCTTTGTGTTCGCGACTATACATTCATTTTCTTGATTCTATTTTGTGTTTTATGCTAACTTGACTCATGTTAATCCAATATTCAATCTTTTTCTGTGTTATTATGTAACTTTCAGTTAGTTGATTAAATGCTTTTTATAGACTTTCTAGTACTTTTACACCATTGAACCTAACCTTAACACCATCGCTTATAATGTTTTCCATATTTATTATTCATTTTACCAATCTTTATCGGGATTACAATACCAAGAAAAAAGTAGGGAATTCCCAATAATATTTCGATACATACGGAAGAACAAGCTACTAAAATTCGGTGGATCGACAAAGCAGTCAGATTGTTAAGTATTAGTTTATTTCAATAAGATTGACCAGTCACTTAGAATAAGAAAGGATGATAAATTGTCTACTTTGAATAGTGTTTATTTGTAGTGGCCAACAAAATTAATGGAAATTTGCGTGGGAAGTAGAAAGCACAAAACAAAAGCATTTTGAAAGTCTTCTGTAACCAGAAATATTATCACAACTATCCTTAAACCTAAGCACGACAATGCAAAACAGTCAAAATACGTCAAATCAAATAGATACGAAAAATTTATTCGACTTAACCTTAATTAACAAAGTTCCATAAGGAAATAGCGCGAATAAATCTGAAGATATATTTTCCTTACAATGAACCAATGACTTGTTCCAGCAACGATGAAACTCATTAAGAATACCGACTAGCAAGCCTTCCTGAAAGCAAATACCTAAAAATGAATATACTCATAGTGAAACTCAAATCAATAAATATAGACTAGGATTATATGATACTAAAAAATTTAATTGAGGATTTTCAATTAAATTAGAATTATTTAGAAGCCTGATGAAATATTATCCAATAGTGATCATGAAGGCATTACATTTTATTCGTGACAACCCAAGGTAAAAATCAAAGAATAATTTGGTATCGAAACCAAAGAATGAGTAATTGTTTATTATCCATCTAAATACATAAACATTGGTACAAAGAGGCACCTGATATATATGGAGCCACACTTCGTCATTCGATTTGTGTGACGGCTGGAATACTGCCCGGGAACCCAAACTGAAGCAGGTCATTAAGGACAAGACGGAGAACATTTAAGATTTATAAACACCAGTACCGATTTCCAGCCTGTATTCGACTTCCTGATCCTGAATTGTAACCAACAAACAAACTACAAACTTGAATGACATTCTTGATGGGTAGAGGATAGATGACCTATGAAACCAGTTAGAAGAAATCTAAGCACTATGATACGAAATTTACCACCCTTATCAGTGTGGACGTCCATGAAAACCGAGTAGAACTACGATAGTATGAGAATTACTTAACACGTATAGCTGGAAATTAGACGGGGATGAAATGTCTTGGTTGCTTGCTCCTGAATGATGATTACATGATTAGTAACTACCGATTTCAAGATTTCACAATGTGATTCTAACAAGACTATATTGATTTTTTAACGACTGGGATAGGTAACAAAGGAACCTAATTGCACTTTTAAATGGAATAATTAAAACTTTGTATGCCATAGTACTTTCAGACTTATTCGAGATATCACACCTGATTTGAATTGTGACTGAATGAAACGCAACCAACAAGGATACCCATCAGGATATTAGTTTCAAAACGCGCTATTGATACCAATTAACAGGTAACATCACTGTTTTAAAAATAGTTGATGGAGCACTGAGAATCGCTCCAATATCAATGACACCTACTAAAAGAACACTAGCGACATAATATCACGAAATCAAACGGAAAAAAATAACATAATTACATTGCATTCAAACAATTAATATACGACTAAAAACCAAGCAACATAACCATCGGTGACACAAACTAAAACGAAAATGAGTTTCGAAAACAAAGACAATAACAATAGATTATCAATTTAACTCACTAAGAGGGTACAAATCACCACCCAACTCAAATGACAACATTATTCTTCGGTAATCATAATTTAAGACCGATGAACTATCGTGATCCGTACTAAATTTGTGGTTGGTATCTGACCTCACAGATTCATAATTAAAACTAAATGCAAGCGAAGAAGGAACTTGCGGTAGTGGAAGCCAAACACTAAGTCCAGCTGCTCCGGAATAAAGCCACAAGGAGTCTTTCGTATAAGCATTTGCATCAATCACATTCAATGACGATAAACGATCATTATCAGCCTGAGAAGTGATTGTTGTGAAACAGCTTGTAGACCATAGAATTTCTATTTCAGAAGCAACTAATAAAGGTGTTCCGAATGATAGTAACTGATCGAAAACAACCATATTTTTAAAAGAGAAATAATAATAGTTTAGCGCAAACAAATGGTAATGAACATTACATATATAACTAGATACAAAATGAAGCACATTTAGGAATACGCTGAAGAACAGTTCAAAAAAAGCTGAAAGGTTAAGTCCCAAATCTTTTAGGGAACTGATGTTTTACGGACTTAGAAACAGTAGGTCCAATTATATCGAGAATAACTGGACACTTTAACGGATAGACAAATGAATCTTCATTCCTAGTATTAAGAACATTTAGGAATCTGCTACTAGTCAGTTGAAATCCCTTTCAAAGTCCCAATACTTGATGTTTAATTAATCTGAGAATGAGACTACAAAGTAAAACAAGTTAGTAATAATGTGTACAATGTAACTGACTTATCAAATACAGACTCATGTATTCGAGATTGAGTTACACTCTAGATATGAGATTTAGTGACGCTCCAATGATAGAGCCTTAGTAGATGAAGGGAATTCGAAATTGGGATCCAGAGGTTAAGTGGTGTGTGTGGAAGTTTGTTGGAATAATTAATTCTCAATTTCTACTACGTTTATAAGAACACTAGCTATCTCTTAAGCGACAATCACCATCTGTCTAAAAACAGCAAAGACAGGTGAGTTTAATCACCGACTAATACTAACTAGAGAACCACTGAGAACCAAACGTTATACCATAATCGATTTGACCTAGTCTGAGAAAATTCAGTGACGAACCGGATGTCAGAAACTTACGATTTAGTTCGATGGACTTATAGAGGTTCCGTACTAGACGAAAACTTTGAGTTTATGACATAGATTCCCTTTAGGTAAGACAATTTTTATTATTATCACTGTCATTATACATTATCCACTTTTGTTTTTTGTGATTGACCTTCTTTTACATTAAGCTATACATCTATGTGACTAGTAAAGTTATGAGCATTTACAATTTGTACAACGGGACTTAAACATATGATACATTTTCCCCTGTAGTTAATAAAAATTTGTGAATATGTAAACCCATTACCATACAAGAAATGAAATTACTTAATTCCAGTATTTTTTTTCCTTTATATTCAAGATGAGTGATGTTTGAATTACCTGTTGGTTAATTTCCTCAGGGGTTCCAGAATGGCTTTTCGGAGTGAAATCCAAAAATGAACGTTGCAACATAAACACATCACCGGAATAATTCATAACTAAGCTTTCAACTGAGCATAAACCTGGGTCGAAGTTACGAAACAAATTAGATCCTGAAGTGGTTGTACGAGTAAAAGCTGGAAAACGTTTTGAAAGATAATAACAAAAGTTAGGTTATACATCTTCAATGGTTATTATTAATGAGGTGATGAACAAAAAACCGTCCTAACTAATCATAACTACTGACAAATCATTTATATAAACAAAAAACTGATTTATTCAAGAACTTTCTATAATCTCATGCAAAATCCTATCTGTAAAAAAGCCTTAAAACTCAGTAAACGAAGCCAAAAGGAGAGAATTTTAGACTTACATGCATTACTCTTTAAAGTTGTAAAGCAAATCCGAACAACACATGCTGGAAATATGACAATATCTGTTAAATTTACAGCCTTGAAAGGAGATACGGCGACAGTGCCTATGATGAAGAAAAATATATTTGGCAAAAGTGTATGGAAAAATAATGAAAATTAAGGCATGAGTGTTAGATGAACGGTACACAAAAAACTGTAAACAATAAACTACTAAAACAGAATCAACTTTTCACTTTCGAAGGAACAAAAACGGTTAAACTTAAAAAAATAAGACACTGATTATATCTTTACCTTTAGAAGACTCCGACTGGTGTTAAATGAGATAAGTGGAGAAAATAGAATAAGCAAGAAGTAAATCCTTTGGCTGAAAGGTTTCAGTATCAATTGAACGAAATGATCTTATAAAGAAAGAAAGTAAGCCAGATGGAATAATAAAGACAACTTTGTAGAATTGTGATACTAATCATCAATAAAATGTGGACTATGTGGAACTGCAAAAGAGGTTTCTTATATTTGGTGTGAGATTATTAAGTCCTAATTAGATGACACAACAGATATGTATATATAAGATACGACATTCTTGTATTAAATTAACATGTACTGTGCTTAGGATGACAAGCAGTATATGATTTGTTATAACTCTGAGGATTTTTCATTTATATGATTTGACCTTAATTAATAATTGAAACGAGTGTACAATCAATATATAAATGAGTGTATTTTCGACTAGGGTCCTCGTCGTGTTTTGGGGTTAATTAATCTTCATTTGTACCAATCTTGGTGTTCTTGCTTCGCGTTTTGGGTATCGCAGTGGTTCCTCGATTTGTAAGTACAAGTAATAAGTGGTTCCAACGTAAAAATTGGCGACGACCAGTCATTATATATATATATATATATATATATATATATCATAGAATTACCAACAACAAGAGAACTGACCAGGTAATCTGCACTATGGTTTAGGAACTGGTATGTAGTAAGCAGGTCTAAAAGTTGTGTTGATGCTACAGGATCAGATCGCTTGCATCGTCATTGTGTAAAAGATTTACATATAAGTTTCCTTAGCTTTTCTTAATCTCTAATGGACATCAATGCAAATTTTAATTCAAACTGCGGGGCATGCACTACTTCAACACTTTCACGGTTGATTATATATCTAATTTGTTACTCAAAAAATGCACCTGACATTATCATTATTCGACGGATTTGCAGGTAATCTTGTATTTTTTAAAATCCGTAAAACAGAGTAGCAAGGATTAAAAACATGCTTCAGAATTGAAAGTAGTCTCCACTGTTATGTTATTATCCAAGGTTACTAAGTTGTACAATGACGCAGATAGTCACCGTAAATCTCTGTTATGAATTGCGGTTGTACGAGAATAGATTCAGGAGACGATCAAAGTCATAGGTTATCTGAACTAAAAAGCTAGGAACAATACCTAAATGCTTTACAGATTGACTTAGCCTAAGTATCTAGGTATTTTTAAATCACTGCATCGAAGCAACTAATTTTGGAGAAAAGGGTTGAAAGCTTTCAGTATAAACAATAATGTACAAATTAATTTGGGTTGTAGTTAGTGTCGAAGTAAGCAGTGACTGAGAAGTGATAACGGCATGTATTCTCTCTTTCGAAGTTCTTACAACTCCATTCCGCCAAATGGCGTACAAACGATTGTACCCAGATACCTATTCCCAGGAACGCTAGTTTGCTTCTGAGCTTAGTGCTGCACATACACCACTGAAGCTGAGTTATTAACAACTCTCTAGATGTCGAAGAGTGAACTGAACTAGTTCACGCTGATTGAGATCATTTGAATCCTGTCTGAGGAATACAGAAGTACGAAAAATATACATACACCAGAAGAATGTTGCGTCTTGATATTGGTAGCATCATCGACATGAATGCATGACGAAAGAACACGAAAGGTAACTTCCTGAGGTCAGTAGCACGTTTTATGAATGGTTACTTTTCTATTATTAATTCCAAACCAGAGGAACAGGAAATCTGTACGGCAAGGAAACGTGTGTAGCTTTCCAAACCCTTCACCTGTTTGTAGGAAGGCAGAGATGCTGAAGAAGTTACTCTTGAATACCTTACTGTCATCACACTCCAGAACAGCTAGTAGCACGAATTTGCCTTTAGACTTGAAGTTTACTATGGTTGGGTATTATCGCTCTGCAATCTATTTATCTGACATGATGGGATCTTAATTTACACATCAGTCTCTAAAACGCAGAGACAACGGCAAAACAATTTAAAATGTAACAAGATTAGCTTCCAAAAAAAACTAACTTTTACTGGATACAGACTCTGATAAACCAAAGATTTGCAGACATCCATCGTTGGTAAGTACAAGAAACAGATTTTCGAAATTGTCTACAATGACGGGTAATGTAAGGGATGGAAGATCACAGATGGAGCTAAATTGATTGTCAAGTTTATGGTCCGACGAGTAGACACGAACCTACAGTTTTTAAATATTAAAATATTGTAGAAGGCCAATATAGCAACAGAGTAAAATTTTGTACACACATTATTGCGATGTACAGAATACATACCTCTGCATTATTTGCCGACTCCGAAATAATTTCAGATAAAGATGAGAAGGGTCTCATTTTTACGTAAAACGTACAAGAGATATACCAAAGTAAAACAAGCAAAATGGAATGCTAGTAGGCAGACAAATTATACAAAAGCACTTCTGTCGCTGAAAGAATACAGTCAACGAATTTCAACACGCAACGTTTTGCCATTCGTGATTCCCAGTCCCATCAGAATCAGGAACTGTATGTGAAGTTTGTATGCAGTAGAAGTGGTCTCAAAGCTCCAAGTTGTCTCCAGAAGAGGCAAAAATTTTATGATGCTGTATCATCTAGAGCTTCACCTAAATTTAGTGATCCAGATTTTATATTTTCTAAAGAGATAGATGAGTATTGGACTGTAATTCGTCGAAACGTGAACCACAGCCATAAATGCAATTCTTTGGCTTATTACGATAGTTTATGGATGTGGAAGCTAATGAAAGAGTTCGAATCCGTCAGACTTCTACTGATTTTAGGTTTCATGCATTTGACGTGGGTGACTATGTATAGTCATCATGTAGGAAGCGCCGGTATTCACATGATGTGTTCAACTTGAGACATAAAGCATTTTCTCAGGCTCATCTTCCAGGTAAATAATGTCGCTACTTTGATGAATAGAATACAGGAAGTTATGAAAAACTCAGAGGTTATATAATTTTGCTCGGAGGATACGATGAGTATACGACAGGATGAAGGAAATGAGTTGCAATTGCGGACCAAACGAACATGACGAACCGTTACCCTGATGGTGTTGGTTTACACGGAACCTATAAAACCAACAGTGAAAAATTAGTTCTTTGTCAAATTGTTGTAATTGACATGAATTGCATGGGAATACCAATTTGTTTCGCCTTTATCCGTCAACAAACATCCGTAATCAATAGAGTTACTGCATTTCTTCAAACAAGTCAGTACATTTTAATACAAAATTGTTTTGCTAAAAATACCGGCTACTATACTTTCAATCCTCACAGTGAAACATTTACTGTATTCGGTACCGTTACTTCCGAAAACTAAGCTTTACAAAACTCCAAAACCTAGAAAACGACAAATAACTTAAGGACTATGTTTTGTTAGACAAATGTAATTGACAGTGTTTGATACCGGGATTTTCTGAAAGAAACCGTTCACATGAAAAGCTATGCTCGTTTGAAAATGCATGATTTGTTTCATTCCACAGCAAGTTATTGACTAAAGTATGAAACAGAAACATTGAACTCAACATACCTCACTAGTACCATAATTTTCTGTAAAACAGGTGAGACAAATATATTGTTTCCACCATGCCATACCTCCAAAGACGTGTAAGGAGTTTTCCTACGACATAAAATGACGTAAAAGTAACAAATGAAGTATATGATCATAGGAAATCTAAATAAAAAACGGTAGTTGTTTCCCGAGATTAAATGTTTACGAGCAGTTAGTTAGAACTAAAAAACAGGTATGGCAATGTTAAACAAGAAAATTCGAGATATTTCCTAGGTAATGAACACTTTCGTTGTATTTTCTAGTCACTTCAGATTTATGTACTACGTACTTCTTTATAAAACGAGTAATAACAATAAAAAATTCGAAAACTGAAAAGCTGAAAATAAGCTTATGTGTTAAGTACTAAAAATGTAAGTAATCAAATTCTGACAATCTAATAAAATGCAGTAGTAGGCTGGGTACAGTTAGCAATTTAAGAAGCAATGTGCACTTAGGAAGATATAATACTTTGCAAATTAATCCGATTAGTATTTAATTTTATGAAATGAACTATCAATTATCTGTTACACAAACCTAGTAGTTCTTGAGACAACTTTCTTCCCACTGAACGATGAAGCTTGATACGACAGTCAATATTCGCAACTATTTACTCATACAGTAAGCCTATAGATGTCATGATCTAATTTCATAGATCCAGGTAAAAAGGAGTTAAACGTCGACAAAGTATTTTCATTGGTAACGATAAAAATGGTAAAGGGCAATGTACATTATTTGATTTACCTGCTTTATATTGCCGAAAACATGCCAACGTTGTGAATCAGTGTTATAATGAATAAATCCATTGCGACCTGAAACGGCTATTTTTTTACCATCTGTAGAAACAGCAACATACTAAAAAAAGAAAACAGGAAAGCTGATTCCCATAACGAAGAAAGAACAAACAGATAAAAAGCGTTTAGTCTACAGCAGTTATTTGCGATTCAAGCGTGACGTGACTTGAAGAACAGGAACCATCACTAGTTTCGACACACCTAAAAGGTAATGTAGCACCAGTAACCATAATATGATTTGAAATATAACTATTAAATTCATTCTGGATTGTTTGTTTGAATCTTCCGATTGATGTTTAAAACTGCAATTGATTAGTCTCTTATTAGCATATGTGCATCCTGTCCGGATTGCCTCGACATTGCCTTAAGTCACAAGTATCATAAGCAATGATGGATGGTGGCTAGAATTAAACCATATCAACGTTTCGCATTGTCTTCTGGAATTTGTACACCGTTGGGGAGTTGAGATATCTAACAACTTTTGTCAAAACGAGTGATATATGAAGCATTAAGAATTATCTCGAAGACATTCTACTACAACGCACATTTAAAAACAGATTTAGTTTTAAATAAGGATAACATGATATAGTGATAGTTCTGAATATATTATTTATTTGAACATATAAAAATTGGAATAAAGGGGCACCGAATACATATGTCACTTGATTTGTATGTGAGCTGTGATAGTGCCCGGGTGCCCAGACCGAAATAAGTGGTTTTCTTAGAAGGCCACAACCCGAGCCTTTGACCCACAAAGTCACATTGATGTGGTGGTTGAAATTACCTATCGTAATAACAAGAGAGGGCTATATTGACCGGAGTATATTCTCTGAGGTTTTGTTATGATTAAAATGGTCAGTCGACTAGCGGGAAAAAAGTACCAATTTACCTTCATATGAGATAAACCAACACATTTTCACCATACTCAGGAAATTTTCATTTCAATAAAAATATTAAAGGTCATTGGGTTTCCACGTTATATATTAAAACGTCCGTATCACGTTATTAAGCTTGCCCTTACATTCCAAAATTTCCAAAGCACTTGCAAGCTACTGATATACATGTGAGACAGAATAATTAAGTTACGAACAATTAGCAGCGAAACAGCTATATTCATTTACTGTTAGATTTTTTCTTTTCCGAAACCATTTTCCTATCCCGTCAATTCCCTATAATACTACTTGTGAGAGGTTTCTAAAGACATAAATCAGATCGTGCTTGTGTTAACGATAATTTGTATAAGACAGAGTGATTAGAATATAAAATGCAAAGCAATGGTGATTTGAAATTACCCGAACTGGCCAATTAGAGTTGATATATTGTTTTGGGATTAATAAACTCTCGGTTTGCATTCTAGAGGTCAATAGATCCTTGTTCGTCACAATTATTCGGTCAGTAGTTTGAAGAACGATATGCAAATGGTTATCCTGAGATAAAAAGAAATAAAATGAAATATTAAGATAGCTTATTAACCCTGCTGTAAAGAACACTGACCTTTCTCAATGAGATTTCTGAATTCTGACAACTGTAAATCAGCAAAGGTAGAGAATAAGTTTATTTAAGAGAACTGGCCATAATCGCTTATTGGGCAGCAATCACAGTTACTTGCCATCGTCAAATAGACAGAAAAACCGTTTATTGATTATTCTAGCTACATGTCCGAAACTGACAAGTTTTTACAACATAAACCATACTAAGTAAATCCATACCTTATCTAAAAACGAGTGAAGTGATAATTAAATTAAATCCAAATATTCACAAATGATTGATCCACAGAGCTTTTAACAAGGATTGTTTTCCAATGATTGAGAGGTCAGAGAAGAATAGGAGGATCGAAGTAATTTAAAACTCAGAAATATGAGATAATTGTCCACTAAACAGATATAAAGAAGAAATGTACATATAAGTTTACTTGCTCCTGTGGGGTAGGTTACATTGGTTGCGTAAAGCAGACACACCCTAAACCCATTTCATAACACTACCCAGTGTGCCTTTTAAAAGAGGAATGAAAAACTATCGCTAGCTCAGTACAAAAGCACTGATTAACACTGAAGATATTGATCGAAAAGAATCGTCCTTAGAAATAAACTTCACAGTCAAAACAATTGGACAAATTGAGGGTCGTATCAAAACCCTACGCAGTGCAGAAGCATTGTGAGGTTCTCTGATTCAAGCCCGAACTCTGCGTCTAACCTCCCGTTCTCCCACGTTTTTAATTCCCTTGCCCAGTATATTGTGGTTCTCAGTACCATTTTTTACTCCTTAAACCGTAATCAGTTATTATTCTCTAACATTTTATTACTATTATTGATAGATTGTTATTATGACCTTTGTTTTTTTCTTTCTGTTAATTGGACAATTATCGCCCATATTTCTGACCCATACACTATTTTTATACTCATATTCTTCTTAAACAACTTAATCATTACGCAACATCCTACTGATGTTTGAAAGATTGTTTCACGTTATTTAATGATCCGTTGCTTTGTAGACCTCCTTTTTTTCCAGCTGATTTAACAGACGACACTTGAAAACATGACTCAACGTCACCATACCAAATGCATTAATTTGCAGTCAAAGTGGGTATCATCATCGTGAATTAAAACCTAAATGAAGAAATAAGTAATGATAAATATGAGTGGTTTTTAAGCAGAGAACGTTTGATGATAAAATTACCATACTACCTTCCCCACCTGCATGAGACACTATTTGGGTCACAATGATAACAATAAATTATGCACACTATCGAGTTTGATTCCACATAGAAAACTCCGCAAATGTTAGTAGTGTATTAACATAAACCAGATACTTTCCAATATTTTCGACAATTAGATAAATTAGTATTTTGGAAAGAAGGAATGTGTTTCTGATACTAACTATGAAGTCAACCCGTCAGTCAAACGCAACGTAGAACTTAGTACGTGTTTAGGTCGCTGTGAATTTTATTCCTCCTGTCTAGCACAGGGAGACGAAATGGTTAGAACTAATCCCATAGTAATACAGGTAGTAACACCACTTTTGGTAATATAAAAGATTGGGCATCGAAGATATTATTATCCACAAAGACTTGGGTAGGGCAAAATTACGGTTGTTTTGTAAAATATGAAAAGGATTCATTGAATACACTATTAGCAAGTATTCCTTAAACTGCACCTTTCAAACTGCATAGTTCTTCCACTCCTGTTGTTATTTCACTTACTTTGTTTTCCTTTCACTTCTCTTCATTTTCCTCTTCCGTAAGTAAGAATTCTACCACGAATAACTGACACATACTACTGATATCTGTCCGTATAAGTAGGACACATAACAATATCATTTAACGAATTATAAATATGTGAAATAAAAATATTACTAAAAATTTAAAAACTTAAGATCCAAGAGAAGATTTGATTTGGTCATTACTAGTTTCCGTTCAACCTAATCCTACACCAGAAAATATCACTCGTTGGGGTACGTGGTGGTTAGGGATACCTATCATATTTCCCAACAGTTGGGGAGATACTCGTAAGTCACTAATATTTGACCACAGATGTCTTAGAAATATTACTCGCATAAGCTGGGATCATCGGGTAAGTAATAGTGAGGTGAGACACAGGGTACTAGGAAATGGTGGTAAATCAGTTGATGAGGTTATGAATCTTCATCGACTGAGATGGTTAGGCCGCGTGTGCTAATAAGGTATGGCAACTTGGACCGATGAATATATGTGCCTGTTCTTACGTTGTAGATGACGGACAGGGTAAATCCAGAATATTTCTCGAAAAGAAGCCCAGAGGGACCATGAAAACGCTGGGAGACTTTTTCGTTCAATCGGCATTCGATAGAAGTTTCCGAGAAACATCTAGAAAGTGAAGAGTCACGTGTCACATTACTGATTGGATGGCTACCTATCTTGTTACAATGTTTAGTAGGGTGCTAGGACCTTCCAGAAACCCAAGGCCGTCTGAAATGCTATAGATACCCTAACTCTTCTGTACAAAAATAAACCTTAGAAAAGAGCGATATTCTCATATTTCGCACCTTTTCTCTTACGTAGAGTAAGCCTGGGTTCATTAAAAAGCTTAGTAAACCACCACCACCTCAGCTGATGAAGATTTACTACCCCATCAATTGACTCTCCATCCTTATCTAGTACCATATTCCTGATCCAAGCATTGCTCAGTCAGCTACAACGTAGGACCAGGCACATATATGCATCGGTTAAAGTTGCCATAACTCATTAGCACAACAAGATGAACACCGAATTCATAGAAGTGGTTAATTCAGTGGTGGTAATATACAAAAGAAAGATTGCATATAAGGACATAGTACAGGAAGGAAGAATTAGTTCGTAGTAAGCAAGATATGAAGTAATTTTAATCTCATAGTTTAAGGGAATATAGAGAATGTATACACCATTGTGATCGATTCTCAGTCATGTCACTCAGAGTCTCCAATCATTCGTTACGATAGTCACACGAACTTCAACCAAGTAGTCTGCATCTACCACTATGGCTAAGACTAGAAGCTAGTAACTTAAAGTACTGATGTCACGTTTTGGTTTGGCCGCCCCTAATTTTCTTCCAACCATCCCCAACACTAGTCAGTATTGCGCGCCGTGATTATCGGTGACCCAACCATCGCAGTTGGTGAAGATTTACCATCATTCCCTAATACCCTGAGTCTAACCTCACTGTTACTTACCCGATGATCCCATAACCGTAAAGATGTGAGAAATATTTATAAGGCATCTGTGGTCAAATACTAGTAGCTTACGAGTATCTTCTACTCTTAATGGCCACGTTTCGCAGCCGTAAAATAGAACAGAACGAACTGACGCGCAGTATACTCGTCCCCTAATTGATAGACGGATATCTCACCTTCGCCAAACTACATACATGAACGCAACCCAAACATTCTGGCATTGTTGCTCAGTGCTACAAAAAGACTCTGCATTTTATCAGCATCGTCACCAAACAGAACTATATCATTTGCGTATTCTAAGTCGATAAGTGGACCTCCTGGTAGGAGATCAGTGCCCGAAAATCCAGTCGACGAGAAAGTTATTTCCATCAGTATGTTTATGATGAAGTTGAACAAAAATGGAAATAGTGGACAGCCTTGAAGGACACCACTTGAGGTTGCAAAGGCAGATGACAGTTCGCCATAAGCTCTCACTCGATTAGTAGTGTTCGAGTAAAGAGCCTTCACAAGGTTTATGTACTTCTGGGGCACGCCTTTCAATGACAGACACTGCCACAGAATCTCGCGGTCTACGGAGTCAGATGATGCTTTTAGGTCAAGAAAGACCACTATTGTCGGACGCCGATAAGCATGTCTGTGTTCTAGAACCTGACGAATGGTGAATCTGTGGTCGATGCAACCACGCCCAGGTCTGAAGTCAGCCTGATTTTCTCATGTTTGCAGTTCACGAGTCTTAGTTAGGCGTCCGATAATTATTGAGGCTAGTATTTGAGATGCTATATTAGTCAAACCAATCCCTCTATTGTTATCAGAGGATGATTTTGACCCTTTCTTATATATTGGGACGATAAGTGATTGTGACTAGTCAGATGGGATAACGTCTAACTCCCAGATTTTAGCTAAAATATTAGTCAACCTAATAGCTAAAATCGGACCACCATCCTTAAAGACCTCTGGAGCCAATCCATCTGGACCAGCTGCTGTTCCTTGTTTCAGATTAGCTAAAGCTTTCTTAACTTCAGTTAGAGTCGGGGGACCTACTTCAATGTTCCATTCAGGCATTGCTTACTCTGTGGGATACTTCGAAGACACCTGTGATCGAATATTAGTGGTCCACGAATATCCTCTATTCTTAATGGCTATGTTCCATACCCATAAAGTAGGACAGAGAGAACTGCTGCACAGTAAACTCTCCCCTTGGTTGGCAGACGACTATCTCACGCCGCAAATGATGCAAGTTGACAAAAGCCTATCGAGCCTCCTAAATTTGTGCCGAAATTTCGCCAGACATGATACCGTCAGTACTGATGAGACTCCCAATATAAGTGGTGCGGTCGATGCGTTCAACTACTTCACTCCTTATTATCAATTCAAGCGATGACGCAAGCCAATCCTGAGGTAAAATTATAAATTCGGAGGGAGAGAACCGCATACCAAACATGCTTGCATTGTTGCTTAAGATGGTCAAATGACTGTATTTTGCCAGCGTCTTCATCAAACAGAACTACATCAACTTGAGTCAACAAATCAATTTCACGGCAGATCAACCCCTCAAAAGTCAGACGACGAGTGTCATCTCTAAAAGCATATCTATGACAAAGTTAAATAAAAGTGAAGAGAACGGACAACTTTGACGAACAGCACTTGAAGTAAACAATTTCGATGATAGTTAGCCATAAGCTCTGTCACGATCAGAAGTGTTCTAGTAAAGAGCCTGAACAATATTAATGTCCTTCTCTGGTACGCCTTTCAATGACAAACACTGCCACAGAGCCTCACAAATAATGCAGTCGAATGTCACCTTATGATCGAGGAATACAACCACAGTCGGATATGGAAATGATTATGTTCCAGAATCTACCGAAGGGTTTATATTTAGTCTATACGTCCACGTTCACGTCTGAAATCAGTTTGTTTTTCTCGAGTTTGCTAGTTGGCATTTTTAGTTTTACTCTTCTCTCACTGATCTCCTCGTTACGGTAAGACTTAAAAGAACATATGTTCTAACCAACATAGCTCAGTAGTCATCGCTGTAAGCAAACCCGACCACCACGTTAAGATAGCAGCAACGGCTGATCTGAGCTTTGAATATACTAATATGGAAACAACTTAAAGTATATGCATCATACAATTTAAGATAACTCGATGAAAATAGTTCACCATCAACATTTTTTACAACAGCGCTGGATAATGAGTCCCCATCTTTGAAAAACTATGTTTTGGTATGGTCTAAGAAACATTTTGCTTAGGAGTTTCAACAAGGTATTTAATAGATCTTTCTACAATTAGAACAAAATCAAAAAGACTTATGATTAAGAAACCTCGCATTTAGTCAAAAACTCTAAATCCCTAGATATCAGACTTTAGATATTTAGTGATGAAGATCTTAAACAGCTAAATGGACTGAAACTTACGTGAAATTAAAAGTAGTTAGTGTTATAGTACTCATTTTCATTGACAAGTTATTTCACTTTTTTCACATACACATATGTCAGTTTAAAACTAAAGAGAGAGCAATTTAACATTTAGATAGATTTTTTTGAGAAAGCTGATGTTAAACCTTATCCAAAATTACATATTTCGGAAATTCGTATCCTCGGCACTCACTGAAATTTTCTATCTGTATAGCACTAGCTATAGAGTCAGAGTTAAAAAATATACACAAATGAAAAGTTAAGATGATGAGAATCCATATGCTTTAGTAAAATCAATTGATAATAATTATTTGAATGTGAAAGCAAAACATTATTTATACTTACTGATGTTGGGTTAGCTGTTATTGAAGACCTAGCCAGATGGAAGACAACCAGGTATGAAGAGTTTTGTGAAGGACAGCCCAGACCATCGGAAATAAATTGTGACTTCTCTACTTTTGTAGTATCTTTGGTGGAGACCTTTTCTGAAACAAAGGAGTCAGTGTTTGCGACCCCGGAAATCTCTGTCACGTTGCTTAAGGTTAACAAACCGACTATATTATAACCATGATGAGCCCAGGACTAAAAGCAAGTCATAACATAAATCATATATATACATGTATGTATATATACATATTTATTTATTTATTTATTTTATGTAACTTCACAAATTGATGCTTTTATTGTATTTGATTTATGACACAAAAGTTAATTTGTACCACTGGGTAACAAAACATGAGGCAAACAAAACTAATGTGTACAACTATTGTCCGATAACATAGTCAGACTAGGGATTCCTAAATACACATAAATAAATGAAACTTTATTGTACAATCCTCTTCTATTTGATTGGTCGACGCATTTTTCATCCGCCCTGTCATAATACACCGACTATTTTAGTACTGATCGGTCCTGAGTTGGCCTTTGTTGTTGAATTGTTTCCTTGAATTAGTTTTTAAACCTAAGCTGATGACTATTCATTATAAAAGCGTTTAGTTATTCATAATAATTCATATAAAAATATCCTAAGAAGCCAAGATAGTTTCCTGAATTTGTTCGACATCGGATGCGCTATTCTGATGTGAACATAACTGTATGGTGTTCCTTGGTTTTCAACCATCCTCGAGCTGATGACTGCTGGTAGTAAGAGTATTTTCAAATACACATTAAAATTTGAATGAACAGTTACGCCATATGTGGTTTGAAGAAGAATGAATCAACTGTACAAATAAAGGAGCTGACAATGAATTGATTTGATATCAAAGATAAAAGTGAACAAAGTTTCACAATACTCACGAGGTTTGAAACATTTATTTTACCAAATTGACTAAGATGCTCACTTAAGCTGGTGTATAATAATGCACCAAAAACTGACCACAACGACCAACCCGAACGTAACCAAACAACAGCCAAAGTGTATCCATCCGGTGACCAAGAAATCTCTGAAACAGGACCTACTTCCTCGGTAGTATCTAAGATGAAAAGCAAAAAATCTGCTGTGAATGTGTGACAATTATGAGAAAGTAAGTTGGCTCAGTTCAACTTCCTAATCTGCATGACGATGTATCGTTTGAAAAAATGCTAAACTATTTGTTGGAAGTTTACCAGATAAATATCGTAAAACATTTATACACATAGTTTTGGAAGATTATTGAAATGGAAACTAACAAGATGATTCCCGACCAGATATACGAAGAGTATTTTTAATTTTAAGAACACCAGAAGTTTCATCCATCTTGTACAACAAAACTTCGTTGCTGCAAAAAGAAAAAATATTAGTCTTATTCGACACTTTTAAAATGAGTAGGTTGTTATTTCAAGCGTACTTATCACTAATTGATTCTTTGCCCACTTAGAAAATTTTCGATGAATGAAGGAAATAAAGATAACCAGCCAGTTAGTTATGGTGCATATGTCCATTGCGACACTAAGTCACAACATGAAGATGAAGTGGAAGTATAAGAGGTATTAGAGGATAAAGTATAAAGAATATTATTCGAGAATTTACAAAATAAAACATATAATCCAAGAGAAGATAAAGAGTGTATGCTTCTGGATAACTGAAACTGGTTCAGAGCCATGTCACTCACTCTCCAATTACTGGTCATGATAATCACGTTGACCTCCGCCAGGCGGTTTGGACCCATGTTATAACCTATGGACTGCGTGCCTTGTTAATGTATAACGTAACGATACCTCCAATTAGAGAGCAGTGACTTATTGATCGGATCAATGATGCGTAAACGCGTATGAGCAGTCTAGAGTCCTTATTGGTCCCGCTTCCTGTTTAGCCCAGTCAGTTAAGTCCAGAACACCAATCCGAGCCTCTGCAATATCAATCATATATTTCAAACATACGGGGTTTATATACCAATCAGACAAACCACATCGTACCAATAAAATATGAAACAACGTTTGTAAAAGAATTAGCCAGACGTGGCTGCGAACGTGGGAGGTAGTGATTAATTGACAGGGTATAATTCAAGAATGGTAAATCGTATAATAATAGTTCACAGGTCAAAATAAAGCTCATGATAAGAGGGACATGAATATGAATAGTTTAGTTACTCAACAATTACACGATAAAAATGTACGTATAATATTGATCCAAAAATGGATCACAAAAGTTACTATTCATTATGCCTATCGGGACATAACAATACATGAGCACGGTCTACATTAACATTCAGAGATTAATCCCATGTTTTGGTCAGAATATGCCTAGCTTTGCTCCAACCTACTTCGACACCGACAAACATTGCATCGGAGAATGTGTTTAAGCACATGTAATACATGTCCCGTATACTTTAGTCCACGAAGATTCACAACAATATCAACCGCATGGTCATTTTCGCCTAATCGTCTATATTTGACCTCAGCATTAGCACCTGAACTTTTTCATGATACATCGACAATGCTTTGAAAAACTCCATGACCAGATAGCTGTGACGCATGAATGCCGTCCACTTTCCATATTAATTTGTCATAATGGCTATTTCGAGGCAATCTGAACAAGGCCCGTATATGCCAACCAAGATTGAACCAATTTTAGTAAAAATATTCACAACGGGATAGTCAAAAATCATTTCAAATTGAATTAAAACTCGCAGCCATTGTACGAGTGAGTGGCTAACTGTAATCAGTAGCTAACTGGATAACGCGGTAGCGTTTGAAGCTAACGGTATTGGATCGGAGTCCCGAAATGAACATCAACCCTGGACTACACTACTAGCCACATTCCATTTATTGTACATTTGCAATCACAAGTCCCGATCCTATTCACATTGAACCCACTTCATGAATAAATTTCTACACGTTTCTCAATGTTTCGCGAGACACTTATACAGAAAACCCCACCAGAAGACAAGAACGGTAATGTCTCAATGTTCAAATATCAAAACACTTTAAAAAGTCCTAAGACACGACATCATAAGTGTGTTGCATATCGCGAAATAATTTTCAAACTTGAAAGTATCACTAAACAGAAAAAGGATCAAACTCATCAAGGTGATTATACAAAATCCAGGTTTAATCTAACTGACAAGTAAGTGGATACAAAGAATGTGGTACCATTCTTTTTTACTAAAAAACGAGTTTGATTAATACGATATATATATATATATATATATATATATATATATATATATATATATATATATCAATTCACGGTAAGTAATGTAGCATATCAAATGAATCTATAGGTCTGAGATGTACATAGAAAAAAAAATCCTGCCTTTCGGTTCCAACAGCTAGTGTCCGAAAGCGATTATTTACAGCCGTACATGTTGGATGACCGACGTTTTCGACCAAGATTACTTCAATATCCTAAAAATTCAAAAACATAGAGTCTGGACAATATCAAAATATTAGGAATAAACACAGACTAGATGATAGTGCAGAATTCAAATGAATGTTGAAACATTTATTTATGTATACTATCGTCTGAACACTTGGTACAAATTGAGCAGGATTGAAGTAATTAAATCCAAGGATTACAATCTTTTTTACATAAAGTCGAGATAAAAATAAATTGGGGACATTAATGTGAACGCATTTTGCAGTGTATAAATGGAAAGGGATAAATAAAAACGTCCACCAAACTGAATTACACAATCTCAATAAACAAACTTAAAGCCATACACAATTACTCCGACCAACTGGTATACCATGCTTACTTCGGAATATCTCTTACCTCAAACATATGCCAAATAGCATAGTGGCGCATTAGTAAGCAACCTGCAGATGAATTTGAAAAGGTCACTCGTTACCCTTTCATTCTCTGTACAATCATTATTGTGGTAACCTCTGATACTAGGGTAATGGCTTTCGCCAAATCCTCACAGTTCAACAGGGTAGGAAATCTATACATAGAGAACGATGTAGCTGGTTCATGAAAATTCGAATCATCGAAGCAATACGTTTCTAAATCATCTAGATTTGAGGTACTCTATCTTATCCTACAACAACCCGAATGATAGAAATGACATTGAAAATCCCAATTTATTGTAAAGAAGTCAGTGGTGGGGATTACTTTAATCATATTTTAAACGAGTTGTCATTACGAAAACGATCCTATTTTTTAGAGATGGTTTTAAGTGTTCTTATGCTTTGAATTTATGGCGAAAGTCCAAAACTCAGAAAATTTATTTTATCATATAAGCATCGGTACAAGGAGGCACCTAATATATATATATATATCAAACTAATCAAATGATTTGTGTGAGGGCTGGGACACTGCCCAAACTGAAGCAGGAAAATGTACTGATAACAAACACAATTCACCAACACTCAATTTCTGTCTCAAAATATCTTAACGCGAGTAGTACAGAAGGAAATTAAAATAATTAAAAATGCATTTGAACTAAACAATAACCATTTAGAAGCAATTTCTTGTTTCTCTAAATCTTACGACTGAGTGTTCCTTACAAGTTATTGGGGTTACGTTTTCAAATAACAGTCAAGTTTCTAAAGGATATTCGAGATACGCATATGAATAAATACTTATTTTACTAGATATTTGGAAAGTGCTTGGGCCACTTCGAATGTTAGGGGAACTTGTTTTGTGACCAGAAGTGAAAACATTATCCTACCTTATTTAAATCGTGTTCTTCGTCGATAGGATGTTTGGATGAGACAACAGTATTCGCAGGTCGATTGTTATGATACGTGTTTATCTTTCTTTCTCACTTACCTTACTTTCTAAACCCTCTTCTTGCAGCCTTTTTGTTTAGTTTTTTTGTCAACTAATAATTGCTGCAAATTCACTACAAAAATACATTTCTGAGTCCCAGTTTAATATTTCACGATAGGAAATATTTGTTGTATTTATGTTTACTCTACTGAATATAGCTGCAGACTAACTTACATGTGTTACGAAAAAAATCAAACAGAAAATTATAACACAAGCGATACGTCCATGCGTTCAAGATGAATTTTCCTACACATTTAGTACGGGAACTTCCAATGTAAAAGAAACTTCGAAAGTCCGACGTAAAACTGTGAGTCCCATTTAAAAGATCGAGTGTAATACTTCACTAGTCTAAATATATAAAGATCCTGGACTAACTTTTTGATCATAGTATGCAAATTACCACCACTGTATCGTGAAAACAATGAGCCCAAAGTACTTTAAATGTTCGAGATAAAATTGACATCAGCCAAATGAACTACAGCCTATGTGGATGAAAGATCATCTCCAGGATCAAAGACTGACTGGGTATGGTTGGTTTCTCGCATTCCTATTAGTAATGTCTTTGAAAAACAAATATGGGACACTGAAAATATATATATATCGCATCGATGCTTCATAACTGTAACCATTACAGCAAACTCCCTAAGCTATGAGACTATTTGCAATATAACCACCACATCTGTACTGCCTCGCTCAATATCTAGATTTCAATTAACCAAAATCTTGTCGGATTAGATTCAACTAAATCCTGAAGTAGCATAACTAAAGGGATGCTTGGGGGTGGTCAGTGTATGACATGGTGTCGTGGTATGAAAGAAAGCTGAAAAGGACTGGCTTCTGTTGGTCCTTCACGACTCTCTGGTTGGGGTCCGAGAGATGGTGCAACACAGTGGCTAGAGACGTTATCAGATATGGCTCAGAATAAAAGCCAGTGGCGATCCTGCTGCAACCTTTTTTTACTCTCTTCATAAAAATGTGGTTGTAACTTCCTTAACTGAAAAAATTCTTCTGGTTGCACCTTTCCGTTTTCACCATTATTATTATTACAGTAACACACACTAATCTGTGGTCGTTATTGTTTTTTCTCTTATATGCACCTTACCTTCTTTTTCTCTTCCCATTCTCATTGTTTTGTGTAGCGCAAATATATATGATGCCCCTCTTGTACCAATATTTATGTGCTCAAATAAATAATTAAATAAAATTAACAGCAAGCTCCTTATCGATATATAAAGTTATCCAAAAGTGAAGTCACATATAGTAATTTCAAGTTAATTTATCACACGAACCGTTTGATTTGCAACAGCACCAAGTGATACAAACAAAGCTATATGACCAGAAGAAAATAGAGCGAAAGCGCCGCCAAACGTAGGAGCCCATTCTACAGTTTTGCAATAAACTTGTTCTTCTGAGTTTTTATCACCTGAAAATGTGGGAAAATATCAAATGCAGTGTAGTGGAAAACAAAAGCAACTTGGTGCGACATCTAATGAGAGAAACTATGAAGGGGATAAGCTTCATGTGAAATCATTTAGTTTTAGCTTGGTTTATAAAGATGCTGTAAAATGTGATCGATAGACAAACCCACCAATAATAAAAGGAAACGCCCACCACCACATTAACTCCTTTTGACCTTGTACGACTGTATCTCTTTATTAACCAATCACAGTTTAATGTTCATTGTAAAACAATATTTGCTTGTTGACTCATTCTTCCTATTCTCTGGCTACTCTTCAGTATGTTATTTGTCTATTTTTTCCCTGTATTAATAGACCGTACAGTTTGTTTGTACACTAACGATGTTAATTTATGTTTTAGAAACAGATAGTCTATCTAGCCAAATAGCTCGTTTGTTCTGACTTTTATCATACCAAGACTCTGTATTCGACGGTCTAGAGAATAGCTCAGAATTAAACCTGTCGGAAATTGTTCCCTACAAAGTTTCGAACAGTATCTCATCAAAGTTTCGTACATTGGGTACCTTTAGATGTCTATGGAGCGTCATAAAACTGATCATATTCCTGAATTGTCTCCTCATTATTCAGAAACCCATAGTGATGACCAGCTCGGAGGAAATACCTAACGAATGGATCCCTTGTTAGAGTTAGAATTAATTAAAGTACGTTTAGCTCAGACAAAAAAAAAGAAATTGAGCTAGAACGGTTACGCCAAAAAGGAAGAGAACATTATAATCAAGTTATGGTTGACAAGGCGATGAAGTATGAGTCTACATCTGTCTCACATGTCGTTGATGTTCCTCCTAGAAAAGACTGGGTAACAATGAAGTCTAGAGCTTTAGACCTACCAAAGAAAGAGATTAAAAGGTTTGATGGTAACCCTATGGACTATTGGAGCTTCATACGGAATTCTGAGGACTGTTTGGACGAGAGCATTGGGTTCCGATCTAGGTTAAACTATTTGATCCAGTACTGTGATGGTGAAGCTAAAAACACTATTGTTCATCGCGCATTGCTCGAGCCAGAAGAAGGCTATCCTAAAGCACTAGAACTTCTCAAGGAAGCATTTGGTCAAAAGCATATAGTAACCCATGCATTTATTGATAAGATGCTGAACATCCCTGCCATTAAAGGAACCGATCCATATAATTTAAGAATGTTGTCTCGTGAGATGCATATTTGTGAGCTAACACTCACGCAGATGAACTATGTATCTGATCTTAATTCTACGAGGACTATCGAATGAATGTTTTTAAAACTCCCGTTACACCTGCAAAGAGAATGGGTTAAAGTTGCGTGTAGAATTCTTAAGACAGGTAGAGAACCTTCATTCAAGGACCTTTGCGAATTTGTAAAAGAGCAGTCGGACATTCCTAATACTAGGTACGGCTTACTTGTCAACCGCGGTAGTAATAGTGGCAATAAAGATGTTGGTGTTTTAAAAAGAAAAATTAGTTTAGATTACAATGCAGCAAGAATATCTTTTGCGAGTGCTAGTGATGATAATGGTCTCTTACGCAGTTCATCTTGTTTGGAGTGCTTCAGTAATCATTCTTTAGATCAATGTCAGAAATTTAAAGACAAGAATGTTAGAGAAAGGAAGGAATTCGTTCTTAGACAAAAGTTGTGTAATGTATGCCTGAAGATAACCACGTAGCAAAAAACTGTCAATCGCCGAGGTCGTGTGCTGTCGAAGGGTGTGGCTGGAGACACCATACCCTGTTACACGAGTTGCGGGAAGAACCAAGGAATACTAATATTGATGCACACATTAACACCCAGCTATGTACGGAGAAAAGTGTTGAGCGTGTACAGAAACAAGCAGCATTCGCAATAGTGCCTGTACTGGTAAGAAATGGAGAAAAGGTAGCACAGACTTGCGCCTTCTTAGACAGTGGGTCGGATGCCTCGCTTATTACAGAAGATCTAGCTAAAAGGTTGAATTTAGAAGGAGAGCCTAAGACGATTTCGTGGAAAACGTCAGATAACCATTCCACAATTCAGTGTAAAGAAGTTCAACTAGAGTTTTCCTCCTTAGACTCGTCTTCGTCATTTAGAATCCCAAATGTATGGACAGTCGAGAGATTACCTATGTTGCGCAGGACGGTACGTACCAACGACGTCTCAAATGAAATCCTGGACGCATTTAAAAGACATACGTTTTCCTAGAGTAGAGGATGAGAATGTCATACTGTTGATCGGATGCAACGCACCGAGTGTACACGAAATGAGAGATAAGAACTGGAAAGCCGAACGAACCATTCGCCGTGAAGACTCTGTTAGGTTGGACGCTGTTCGGTTCCTATAGGGAACCTTGTAAAAGCAATCGTGCACTCAACCACCTCTCAGCTAAAGAGGAATTAGAGGATAGGTTCGAACAGTTGTACTCAACTGAATTCAAAGATCCATTTAGTCGTACTATATCGATGTCTGTAGAAGATCGTATAGCACTCAGTGCTATATCAAATTCAGTGCAAAGGTTAAACGGGCACTATCAAACGGCTCTACCTTGGAGGCACAACCACAAGTTACCTAATAACAGAGAATTAGCAGAACGTAGACTTAGTTGTTTGAAAGGTCAACTTATTCGGGATAAGAAGTTGTTCCAAGACTATGTAGACTCCATGACTTGGTGTTTAGAAAGAGATTACGCTGAAAAAGTAAACGATAACCACTCTGATGGGCGAATTTGCTATTTTCCTCATCATCCAGTCTTCCACCCCAAGAAACCTAACAGGCTAAGAATAGTGTCCGATTGTGCAGCTCAGTATGCTGGAACGTCTTTAAATAAGAACCTTTATTCTGGGCCTGATTTAGTCAATAACCTAGTAGACGTTTTCACCAGGTTCCGGCAACGACCAGTAGGCCTTACGGCGGACATTGAAGCCATGATCCATCAAGTAATAGTTCCGCCGTATGATCGAGATGTTCTAGATACTTGTGGTGGCCAGGTAGAGACTTAGAAAAGGAACCCGAGATCTATAGAATGAAAGTTCATCTGTTCGGGGCAAATTCATCGCCATGTTGCGCCACCTTTGCTTTACAGAAAACGATTTCTGATAATCAAGAAAAATCTCCCAGGGCTGTTACGCAAGCAGCTAAAGAACAGTTTTATATGGATGATTTATTGATAAGTGTGGATACCATACATTTTGGAAACAGTTCTGATGAATGTAAGTAATGGTGGTGTGGATCTGTTGCTTGGAGAAAGACTTCTCGACCTTGAGTATGCGGATGATATTGTCTTACTGTGCGAAAATACCCAAGCCATGCAATCCGCACTTAATCAGTTGGCAATCAGTTTCCGTAGGTACGGTATGTGCTTTGCACCTTCCAAGTGCAAAGTACTTCTGTGGTGTGACCTACTTATATTGATATAAGTAGTATATAACGTGCGTTAAAAGAACGTAATGTCCGGCAGCAGAAGATGGCGAAGATCAAGAAAGGAAGAGCAAGAACACAATGCAATTGTAAGAAAACGCATGTACAATGGAATGGGAGACAATGGATTAGTGTTTGCAACGGGAACAGTATAGTTTGATATGATGGAATGATATTTTGCAAATTGACGATTGACTTTATGGTATTCACATTATATTGAGATAGTCTGTAATTTTTGTGCCAAATACAGTCGATTGTCCCCACCCGTGTTCTTGTTCACTACACTTCCACAAGACTGGCAGGATTCTAATCCTGTACTCACCCTGGAAGGTGAGCAGATAGATGTAGTCGAGATGTTCGTGTATCTGGGTAGCTGCATAAGTGCTGGTGGTGACCTGACTGATGAGATCAATGCACGTATAGTGAAAGCCAGAGCGGCTTATGTCAATCTGGGCCACCTTTGGCGCCTTCGTGATGTTAGTCTAGCTGTAAAAGGTCGGATCTACAACGCGTCGATGAGAGCAGTTTTGCTCTATGCTTGTGAAACCTGGCCTCTCCGATTTGGGGATGTTAGACGACTCTCTGTGTTTGATCATCGCTGTCTCCGAAGGATTGCTGACATTCAGTGGCAACACCATGTCTGTAATGCAGAGCTTCGGCATCGTGTGTTCGGGTGCAGAGATGACAATTCAATTGGTGTCACCATCTTGAAACACCGACTTCGGTGGCTTGGACATGTTCTACGAATGTCCTCCCAGAGAATTCCACGTCGTGCATTACTTACCGACTCTGGGACTGGTTAGAAGAAGCGGAGAGGTGGTCAGTGCATGACATGGTGTCGGGGTATGAAAGATAGCTGCGAAGAGCTGGCTTCTGTTGGTCCTTCACGACTCCCTGGTTGGGGTTTGAGAGATGGTGCTACACAGTGGCTAGAGACGTTATCAGATATGGCTCAGAATAGAAGCCAGTGGCGTTCCTGTTGTAATCTTCCTTTACTTTCTTCATAAAAAGTGGTTGTGTCTCCCTTACCTGAAAGATTTCTTCCGATTGTACCTTTGCGTTCCCTTATTACTACCACACTACCTTACACCAATCTCTTCGTTATTGTCCTCTTTTTTTTCTATTTCTCTTTGAATCCTCATTGTTTTGTGTGTGGCATATATATTGGCGCTCTCTTGTACCAATATTTATGTGTTCAAATAGAAATAAATAAATGTGGATACCATAGAAGAAGCCAAACTGACGTATTCGCACTTTAAAAGACTCCTAAGTTTGGGAGGACTAGTAATAGCGTTGAAGTGCTGGAGTTCATTCCAGAAGAAGACCGTGCTGAAGGAAACATTGTCTACGAGTCCGAACAGACGAATTATGTTTCAAAGTTCATGAATATCACGGAAACCCAACCAGGAGGAATGCTTTATCGTATGTAGCATCTATCTTTGGTCCAATCGGGTTTGTAGCCCCAATATTATTACCGGCTAAAGTGATCTTACAAGATACTTGTCGTCAGAAACTAGACTGGGATGCCGAGTTACCCATAGATTGTCAAGCAAAGTGGAATAATTGGTGTAGACATATAAAAGGGTTAGACCACTTAAGAATACCAAGGTGTTTGAACCATCATCTTCGCAAATTCATTGTTTTGCCGACGCCTCCGAGCTTGCGTATGGTGTTGTTGCGTATATTTGTTATGAAAGTGCTTCTGGTCAGATCCATTGTTTATTCCTGCTAGCTAAGTCTAGGGTTGCTCCTCTAAAATTTGTTACTATACCCAGAATGGAATTAACGGCCTGTGTTCTGTGTGCTAAGATTGGAAGGCACGTAAGGGAACAGTTAAGTATCCCCATTTCGTCAGTCATTTATTGGACCGATTCGACAGTTGTGCTTCATTGTATAAAAAATACGACTAAAAGGTTTGAAAGGTTTGTGAGTAACAGGTTAGAAACCATACACGAGTTGTCTACGCCGAGCCAATGGAGATATGTGAAAGGTAAATTTAATCCTGCAGATCACGCGTCTCGTGGATTATCAATAAATGATAAGGCTAAGGTAGGAGAGTGGTTACAAGGGCCGAGATTATTGTGAGAGGAAGAAAATAAGTGGCCTAACCTAGAAAAGATTGAGAACAATATAGCCCATGTATTGACAGAGGATTTCGGACTCCCAAGACACGATGATGAGTTCCTAGATCGATTTAGTACGTGCAAGTCATGGTCCAGACTTCTAAAGGTATTTTCATACTGCAGACAGCTTGTCAATAATATGTTAAACAAGAGGAACGGAAATCGTCTAACCTTAGGTGCGCTAATTGCTGAGGATATCGAAAATTCGAAGAGTGACATAATTAAACTAGTCCAAAGTATCGCGTACCCGGCCGAAAAAAGAATTCTAAACAGCTCACCGTTGACGCTCGGAGAAAACGTTTTTAGACAGCAAGAAGCAATGGACGAGGTGAACAGGAGAAAAAAATTAATTCGTCAAAGTTCTATAAGAAATCTCAACTTTTTTTGTTAGAAGGCGAAATCCGCGTGGGAGGACGTTTGCAGTTATCATGTTTACCCTTTGAAACCAAATATCCGATTATTCTTCCTAATAATCATTTTGTTACAGATATGATCATAATGCGTTATCATGTGATTAACGCACATGTTGAAGTTACTCAAACTCTGAGTAGTATTCGTGAGGAGTATTGCATTATTAGAGGATATTCTACTATTCGGAAGGTTCTAACACGATGCTATTTATGTAGAAGACTTTACCCTAAACCGTGTTCCTAATTAATGGCACCGTTGCCGGAATACCGAGTAGAGACTCATTCGCCACCCTTTAGTCAAGTAGGTGTGGATTACTTCGGACCATTCTATGCCAAACGAGGTAGAGTTGTCGAGAAACGTTATGGCTGTTGATTCAACTGCTTATCTATTAGAGATGTTCACATCGAAATGGCCTACTCTTTAGTTACGGATTCATTTCTATGCGCATTATCAAGATTTATTGCCAGAAGAGGATGTCCAAAGCGTATTTTTAGTGATAACGGCACAAACTTCCGAGGTGCAGATGCCAGTTTGAGACAGATTATACGTTCCTGGAATACTAATAAAATAGAAAACCACCTTAAAGAATGAGAATGTGAGTGGCGTTTTAACCCACCTAGGGCAAGTCATCGAGGTGGTGTGTGGGAACGCATCATAAGATCAATTGGAAGAATCTTAAGAGTGCTTTTATTCCAAAACGTGTCGACCGATGAAACTCTGCAAACCTTTTTAACTGAGACGGAACGGATACTGAACGACAGACCTCTGGTTAAGATGACAGATGACCCTGGTACCTAGAAGCTCTTACTCCGAACAAGTGGTTGTTGATTCATAAAAAATTATCATTCGACGATGCTTCGGTGGATAAGACGTTATTATACAACAAAAGATGGAAAGAAGCTCAAAGACTAACCACCGCATTCTGGAATAGATGGATAAAAGAATATTTCCCGACTCTCCAAACAGGAGACAAATGATTGGACGTACACAAGAACTTACAATCGGGTGACTTAGTCCTCGTTAGTAACGTCGAAATGAATAGAGGTCTATAGCCTAAGGCTATAGTCGAGCAAGTAAGCTATGGTCCAGACGGACGATTCCGCACGGCAAAGTTGAGAACTTCAAACGAAGAAATCGTCAGAGATGTGCGAAGCCTATGCCTGCTGGAAGAAGCCGGTTGTCTGACGGCGACGACGACCCTGGAAAATGGACGTGGTGCGCGTTTCGGGGGGGCGTGTAAAATGTGATCGATAGACAAACCCACCAATAATAAAAGGAAACGCCCACCACCACATTAACTCCTTTTGACCTTGTACGACTGTATCTCTTTATTAACCAATCACAGTTTAATGTTCATTGTAAAACAATATTTGCTTGTTGACTCATTCTTCCTATTCTCTGGCTACTCTTCAGTATGTTATTTGTCTGTTTTTTCCCTGTATTAATAGACCGTACAGTTTGTTTGTACACTAACGATGTTAATTTATGTTTTAGAAACAGATAGTCTATCTAGCTAAATAGCTTGCTTGTTCTGACTTTGGCCAAACCAAGACTCTGTATTCGACGGTCTAGAGAATAGCTCAGAATTAAACCTGTCGGAAATTGTTCCCTACAGATGCCACTTGCCGAAATAGCGTTTTCCAGCCAATGGCTGTCGAAAAGCCATATGGAAAAGTATCAACTATATATTCAGAAACTAAAGTTGAAGTAATTGCAGTAGAAAAAACTTTCAATAACTAGTCACAAATTGTAAACCTGTGCCAAAGAACCCTATAGTTATACCTAGAATAATTGATCATCCTATAATTAATCCATTTGGCATTTGTGGTACATAAATGGATGAAATTACATACATTATTCACAATGGTCAAACTAGTTCTTTTATTCAAATATCACACTTCTTATTCACTACTCGTTACCACTTATAAACTCAGTGACACGTAAACTCATTTACCAGGTACTTGGGTACAAGTTGCACTCTAAGTGTGAGGGTTAGTGGTTCGATCAGGACGTTTTCTAGCTCCTAAGCTACTGTTGTTTAGATGTCAGGCATGTGAATTTATCAGGCTAACCACTTAGTACCTATTCGAACCAGAAACAGAAAAAATACTACGTTAAGACCCATAAAGTTTCCAGTTTCAAAAGCTATTTGGCTAGATAAAAGTGTCCCCCAGATATTTACTTAGAATTTGAGGCTTACTACATTAATTTTGCTATATATACATTAACTGATACTATGTAGCTGTTACACCAAAACCAGAAAGACTCTGATCATAGAAACCAAACAGTCTGGTCAGTTTTAATGAGGACACTTTCTAATATTATTCTGTAAAACAATGTGTACATATCTACGAACCATGAGGGCTTAAAACATTATCTTGAGCTGCAGATGACAGAGGTTAAGACAGTCTAATAAAACTTTATATTGTTAGATATTGTTAGCTAACTTCGACGAAGCTTTCGTGATACATAAATTTATCACTGTCGTCAAGTACTTTGTTGTTGTTAAAATAAGCAGACACAAATCCAGAAGCAACAGTGTATTAAAATGCAGAAAATAACTCAGATATTACGATATTTTCATATGTTTAAGATACTATGGATTATTAAAATATTTACGCAACGCGAAGTCATATATTTGCTAGGTATGAGAGATGATGCAGACGACACATATATACTTAAATATTTCTGAGCTCCAAGGTAGTGAATTAAAAAGTCAATAATATTAAATTAGTTAGCAATGGGAGACAAAAAAGAACAAGCTGAGACGTTTGGAAGAGGTGACGACACTTCGGAACAAGGAATATGTTAGTATAGCTTGGAGAGAATCTGACTGCATGATAGCTGAAGCTAGGTAAACCGTTCATTACCGTGTGAACGGCTTGGGAGAGGTATCTAGATAAAAGTCCCTAAATAGATGAGTGCGGATAAACCTACCATTCACTCCTTAATTATTTAGGCTTACTTTGCAAAACCGTTAAAAACCTATGTAACTAAGGATAAATACAAAATATTAACGATCATAGGTAAACGTTTTTGAACAATTACTGAAGCTTTTGATGTCTCGCGGTAAGTTTATTGATCTAAGGTTTATAGATTCACCATAATACGAACCATCCCACCGCAATTTGATCAAACCCCCTTTCTCAGTAGCAACAATAACAGTTTCACCTAATGAAAACACACTGAGAACTAAGTAGGTTATAACCGCAATTTACCTGCATTTACATTCAGCAACTCGAATAGACTTCAAGAACAATATTTCTATGGATGGATCAGGAACGCTGATTATCTCAAGATAATTATAAGCACAACACAAATATACCTGTCTGGATCCAGTGACTCGCAGACGGACTGTAGGTTCTCGACAGAATATATGAGCACGATACCCTTATCAGTCTTCGGGAAAAAAATGATTGAAAAGGTTCAACTAACGCATAGCAGTATTTTGGAAGAGTCCCACTTTAAAACAGCAGACGATGTGAGCCCATTTTCAGTCAAGCACAAATTCGAACGAGAAAAATGTGCTATGGCACACAAGAACTATCCATTAAGAAAACAAAGAAAGGAGTTCTCACCTTAAGATGGAAAACGACGACGTCTGAACTAGTGCAAACAATGGATGTTTCCCCATCTTCAGATGAACACACTGCAAAGACTTCGCCCAACTTACAATACGACTCAAGAACCGAAGGCCATCCAACAAAGTAGTGCATCAGTACTTCCAGAAGAAGCGGGCGCGCTACACAAGAACTCCCTTGAAATACTTCAACGTTCAAGTTTGCTCACAAATATTATTTCCTCACGAACTACAATCGCCTCTGACGTATTATGAAGATACCCTTTCTTATTTTGCTTATTTACTATTTCGCGAACTAAACTGTGACCAATTGTCAGCTGACTGAGCTATTTCTATGAAAATAATTTCAAATGGTTGTGGACGGAATAGAAGAAGCTTTCGCTTAACAGGCTTCCGTGTCTAGTAGCAGGGTATCATCAAATCCTCCAGGCAGGAACCTAGGTATGTTAACAATAGAAGAGGAAAAAGAAATTGGCAAATCATCGTATGATGCTGTCCTTGGTCCTTAGAAATAGGTCAAGTTGCCTCTTAAAGGACTCCTGAAAAGTCGCTTGGACTAGCTCGGCCGGCAGCGAATTCCAGCATTTGGCAACTCTTGAGGAATAGAAGTTATGTCTTCATTCCGTATTGTCATGTTGTGTTACCAGTTTCTGAGTGTAACCCCTTATGCCAGTGTTCGAACTAAGCTTAAGTAGGTGTTTGAGAGGATGTCCAGAAGTGTTGAGAATACTGTAAGCCATTAACAAATCATCTCTAGGACGCCCATACTCTAATGGGTAAAGTTCTAGTGAATGAAGGCTCTCTTCGTAAGGTTTAAATTTGAGTCCTCAAACTGATTTCGTGGCTCGCCGTTGGGTGTCCTTATCCTTTTGGAGTGAGAGGGGAAGTACTATGTTTCCGTACTCTAAGTGGGGACGGATGAAACTATTGAAGATTATATGGAAAGTTCTTCCGTTGAACTGTCCAAAAATGAGTTTCAACGTCACCAGTGAAAGGTTTGCCCGGAAGGTGTTTTTGTCACGGTTTGCGTAAGACTTTGAATCGTGGGGCACCAGGACTCCTAAATCTTTTTTGACGTGGGATCCTACTAGAAAGGAGTTACCTTAGTTATAACCGTAGTCTACGACATGTCGCAGATGGACTACTTTACATTTTGAAGCGTTAAAAGTAAGTCCATTATTATCTGCCCAACTTTGAAGTCGAGTCAGATACTCCTGAAGTGCCTGTATATCGTCTTGGTTGCGTATCTCTGCTCAAAGTTTAACATCATCGGCAAAGAATAATAATTCCGACGTTACCTGTAGAGGAAGATCATTTATATACATCGAGATGAGAAGAGGTCCTAGTACTGAGCCCTGGGAGCCCATAAGAACATTCCATAGCCTGAGATAAAGTTAAATTAACCCTAACCTTAAAGTGTAGATTTTTCAGGTATGAAGTAAGCCAATCGATTAGAGGTGGTGTGATACCCACTCGTTTGAGCTTATTGATAAGACATGTATGGTTAACCTTATCAAAAGCTTTTGAGAAATCTAGGTAGATGATATCAACCTTTCCCTTGCGATCGAGGATGCTTGTCCATCTGTTCACCGCAGTCAGCAGGTTGGTTATACAAGAGTGGCCCTTCCTGAAACCATGCTGTTGGGGTAAGAAGAAATTTGAGGACAGTAGATAGTCGTTTAAACCGTCGCATATCAAGGACTCCATGAGTTTTGAAGGTAATGACAGAAAAGCCATCGGCCGATAACTTGAACGTTCATTGCGTCGACCTCCTTTGATAATTAGTGTGATGTGAGCCAACTTCCAAGTTTACCTTAACGTGAGTTTATGCAAACCCATACACTTCATGTACCACAGAAGACACATCCGACTCAGCAATCGGAGGAGTTTTGCAACAATGGGTTAACAACTCCTGACAACCATTGGCATTTTTCTCTAGACGGCTGCTAGACACTGAATCGAGGTACAGCACTTTCGGTGGGGAACTCCTAGCTATGTATTGTGCTGTACAACATTTTCATCACTACATCGACGGTCGTAAATTCACTCTTTTCAATGACCATAAACCACTCACCTTCTCTCTAAGCTCTCCTTCAGACAAGTATTCTCCCCCTGAGTCTCGACAACTGGACAACATTTCGCAATTTCCTTCAGACATTCAACACATTTCTAGAGCAAACAACGTAGTCGCAGACGCTTTGTCTCGAATAACGTCCTTGAACAATTTCCAAGCAATCGACCTTCTGAAATACTCCCAGCTTCAAGAAGAAGACACTGATCTTCAGCACTAGTTATCGTCTACAACACTCAAGCTATTTATCAAACAGATGAGAACAGGTAATGAAATCTTGCTGTGTGACACATCGACGTGCCGAAACGTTATCGACGCAACGTCTTCAATACGTTGTACAAACTTTTTCATCCAGGTGTTCGTGCAACTGTAGTGGCATTGGACAATAGCCACACAATCCACAAAGCTGTGAACACGGGACTACTCAGAAAATAGATATTCAATATTTAACTCGGGGAAATACTTAACAATGGAGAAGGCGCGAACAATGAGTTGAGTGAATTAGAGTTGATCGAACGACATGGCTCGGCCGTGCAGGCGTGGTCCATGCTGAATGTTATCTTATTTCTTCTATTCATATTAAATATATTGTTCTTTCTCTAGCCTAAGCTTGCTCTACATCATGTGTTGTTAATTGGTACGATACAGTGAGTTGGCGTAGTCGATGGTGTGACTTCCACGTAAGATCTTTTAGATTAGGCAGTTATATCATGACAAATCTACAAATTTAGGATTAGGTCTATTATTAGAGCAGCACTAATATCATAGTAGACCATAATTCTACACAACCATCAAGCGTATAGCAGAACGGTTTTGCTGTCCTGACATGAATAAGGACGTGAGGGAGTGGGCACGCTACTGCGTAAGCTTTCAAAAATCTAGGGATATCAGACACAACAAATGTCCCTTAGGCTCTTTCGAAACACCTGACGCTAGTTTCGACCATGTTCATCTGGATTTGGTAGGACCTTTACCAGATTCAAATGGATACTTTGATCTCTTAACCTGCGTAGACCGTTTCACTCGATGACCAGATGCAGTACCTATCAAGGACATCGCTGCTAAAACAGTGGCTCTCATCTTCGTCGATCGATGGGTAGCAAACTTCGGCTGCCCTTCAACCATCACTACAGACCGCGGATGTCAGTTCGAGTTTGAAATTTTCCGTTGTCTGACCACACTTTTAGGAATCACTCGTTTCCGAACGACTGCCTACCACCCACAAGCAAACAGGTAGTAGAACGTTTGCACCAATAACTAAAAGCTTCTCTATCAGCTGCAAACGTTTCACAATGGACTGACGCTCTTCCACTTGTCTTACTAAGTATCCGCAATGCAGTGAAAGCTGACATTGGATACACTGCGGCTCAACTCGTTTATGGAACGACACTTCGACTTCCAGGAGAAATCGTGGATCCTTCATCTTCTTCAATGAACATGGATCTAACCTCCTACACGAACAGGCTAACAAACGCAATGCGTTCAGTTAAACCTGTTTCCACTCGACCTCAATCAACTGATGTTTTCGTTCAACCTGACTCACGATCTAATACACACGTCTTCGTACGTCGAGACTCGCATCGATGACCTCCCGAATCAACATACGAAGGACCTTTCAAAATTGTTCAACGCGAACCCAAGTACTATATAGTCGATAAGAACGGAACAAACGATAGCATCAGCATTGATTGCCTCAAAGTAGCGTATTTAAAAGGAAATCATATTCATGTCGAATTTCCTTCGATACAATCGCACGACACGACTCCTACACTTATAATACTTCATTCGACAGCCAACACACACGATGATATTTCGACAGTATCAGAAAATAAACTTAAAACAACGCGTTCTTGAAGAAGAGTAAGATTTCCAGAACATTTAAACAACTAGAGCACGTAAGACACCAGTTAATATTTTGCTTGATCTCGATTTTCCATAGCATTATATATAATATTTTAAAAAATCGATTTTTATATGCTTATATTCATATATATTTATTATTTTGCCAATATGTATATTAAAAATGTATTTTAAAAAATAACAAAAAACATTATGTAAAAATCGCTTTACGCCATTTTCCTTATTTCGCCCATTTTGTGTCTTAATGCGCGTACGAATTTATCTGGACATGCACTAACATATTCTTTTTTTCTTTTCCAGGACAGCTGGAAAAGACGATAAAAAGAACGATGAGGTTTACGAGGAACCAAAATTTTCATTGCACATTATTTTCTCACTATATTGCATTTCATGGTCCCTTATAGTAAGGAAAGACGATCAGACGATGGTAAACCTAGTAAGCTGTCGGAAGAGTGTTTACCAACGACAATACTCGTTGGGTTTAAACTTCTGGCTGGCCAGGTTTTAGGGTCATCAGTGCCACACTAGGGGGGTGAGTGATCTGTAGCGTTTAATAAGTACCAAAAATGCATAGCTCTGTAAGTTTTCGACAGTGGATGTTGACCACATTAGATTTAATGGACTCACCTAGCTGAAGGCGCACGGTCATGCTTCCGCACCAGATCACGAGTGGAAACGCCGTGCTCAACATCTACTGCAATCGATAGCCAGACTAGATCAGACGATTCTCGATATATTGATAGGCTATCAAATATATCTTCGAACCTCCTCGCTTTTTTCTTTTGATTTCACTTGTAGGGTACGATTCATATTGGCTGTTACTGGTAAAAGCGTTGTCAAACTCCGAATACTTGTGGCATCTTCAGCAAGAAATCGTGATGTTTATTTGTCAGCCTTTATACCTTTCTGGTTGCTTTGATTTGGATACGTTTTAAGATATCAGAGTCCTGAAGATTGCACGGAACTGTGTAGTAGATAACGAAGATGTTTTCAAGCAGTTCACTTGTCAGTATACTTAATGTTTTGTACATAAACTGTAAGGGATGCAAAATGTCAATGTAAAGAGACACCAAGATTATCACACACTGACAGATGCGCTGTTGTCTGTAGTAAACGATTTGGTATAGAATCCCCAGTACGCGCATTTTGTACTATTTGAAGCAACTTTAGCATGATGTACCTCCGTTCAATGGTTACTGTTCACT